TAGTGTAGTGTAATGTAGTGTAGTGGAGTGGAGTGTAATGCAGTGTTGTGGAGTGTAGTGTAGTGTAATGTAGTGTAGTGTAGTGTAATTTAGTGTAGTGGAGTGTAGTGGAGTGTAGTTGTGTAGTTGTAGTTGTAGTGTTGTGGGTAGTGTAATGTAGTGTAGTGGAGTGTAGTGTAATTTAATGTAGTGTAGTGTAGTGGAGCGTAGTGTAGTGTAATGTAGTGTAGTGAAATTTAATATAGTGGAGTGTAGTGGAGTGTAGTCTAGTTGTGTAGTTGTAGTTGTAGTGTTGTGGAGTGTAGTGTAATGTAGTGTAGTATAGTGGAGTGTGGTGTACTGTAAGGTAGTGTAGTGTAGTGATGCGAAGCGGCGAAGCGACATCTGAACCTCCAAAAGTGGTCCGAACCCCTAGTGTTTTGTACATTTTCACTTCGAAATGTGCTTCGCGCCACAACGGCGTGCACTTTTTCGACATCTGAACCTCCAAAAGTGGCGCGAACATGTAGTGTTTTGTACATTTTGACTTCGAAATGTGCTTCGCGCCACAACGGCGTGCACTTTTTCGACATCTCAACTTCCAAAAGTGGTCCGACGCTGAGGTGTTTTGTACATTTTGACTTGGAAATGTGCTTCGCGCCACAACGGCGTGCACTTTTTCGACATCTCAACTTCCAAAAGTGGTCCGGACCTGGTGTGTTTTGTACATTTTGACTTCGAAATGTGCTTCGCGCCACAACGGTGTGCACTTTTTCGACATTTCAACTTCCAAAAGTGGTCCGACACTGGTGTGTTTTGTGCATTTTCACTTCGAAATGTGCTTCGCGCCACAACGGCGTGCAATTTTTCAACATCTCAACTTCCAAAAGTGGTCCAAACCCCTCAGTTTTTAACACATTTTACTTCCAAATGTGCTTCGCGCCACAACGGCGTGCAACTTTTCATCTCTCATCTCCCCCGATGTCTCCGCACCCGCCGCTTTAGCGAGCGTACTTTTCAACCCTCCCGAGCCACAAAACCACAAAAAAACACAGTGTTTCGCGACTTTCCTACCTTTTCGCGCACCTGCATCTTCTTTCTTCTGATCTTTTCTCTTCTGACTGTTCTCCCTGCTGACTGCTTTTTCATCTCTCCATATTGTCGGAAGTTTGACTTCCAAACTTCCTTCGATTAACCATTTCCAAATGGGTGGTTTATTATTGTTTTAACCAGATCTATAATACCAGTAGTACCGCACAAGGCGGTGGCGGAAGTTTCAAAAATAGGAAACCTATAGGAGAGATTGGTTGTTGTGAATCAGGGATGGCAGAGCGAATCCACTGATGGACCGAAAGGTGCTTGAGGTCTCCTCTCTTTCTCTCTCTCTCTCTCTCTTTCTCTGACTATCTATCCACCTACCAACTTATCTTCTATGTATCTATCTATTTATCATTTATCTATCTATCTATCTATCTATCTATCGATCGATCCATCGATCGATCTATCTATCTATCTATCCATCCACCTACCAACCTATCTTCTATGTATCTATCTATGTATCTATCTATTTATCTATCTATCTATCTATCTGTCTATCTGTCTATCTATCTATCTATCTGTCTGTCTATCTATCTATCTTTCTTATCTATCTCTCTCTCTCTCTTTCATCTGTCTATCTGTCTAGCTGTCTACCTGTCAATCCATCCGTCTATCTATCTATCTATCTACCTATCTATCTATCTATCTACCTATCTATCTATCTATCTTTCTTTCTTTCTTATCTATCTCTCTCTCTCTCTCTTTCTTTCATCTGTCTATCTGTCTAGCTGTCTACCTGTCTATCCATCCGTCTATCTATCTATCTATTTGTCTGTCTGTCTGTCTATCTGTCGACCTGTCTATCTGTGGTGCAGTGTCATTCAATGTAATGTAGTTTAGTGTAATGTAGTGTAGCGTAGTGGAGTGTAGTGGAATGTAGTGTAGTGTAGTGTAGTGTGTTGTAATTTAGTGTAGTGGAGTGTAGTTGTGTATTCGTAGTTGTAGTTGTAGTGGAGTGTAGTGTAGTGTTATGTAGTGAAGTGTAGCGGAAGGTAGTGTAGTGTAGTGTAATGTAGTGTAGTGTAGTGGAGTGTAGTGTAGTGTAGTGTAATGTAGTGTACTGGAGTGTAGTGTGTGTAATGTCCTGTAGTGTAGTGTAGTGGAGTGTAATGTAGTGTAATGTAGTGTAGTAGTGTAGTGAAGCGAAACGACATCTGAACCTCCAAAAGTGGCGCGAACATGTGGTGTTTTGTACATTTTGACTTGGAAATGTGCTTCGCGCCGCAACGGCGTGCACTTTTTCGACATCTCAACTTCCAAAAGTGGTCTGAAGCTGGTGTGTTTTGTACATTTTGACTTGGAAATGTGCTTCGCGCCACAACGGGATGCACTTTTTCGACATCGCAACTTCCAAAAGTGGTCCGGACCTGGTGTGTTTTGTACATTTTGACTTCGAAATGTGCTTCGCGCCACAACGGCGTGCACTTTTTTGACATCTCAACTTCCAAAAGTGGTCCGACACTGGTGTGTTTTGTACATTTTGACTTGGAAATTGCTTCGCGCCACAACGGCGTGCAATTTTTCATCACTCATCTGGCCAGCTGGCTCCGCACCCGCCGCTTTAGCGAGCCTACTTTTCGACCCTCCGGAGCCACAAATCATTGGAAAAACACAGTGTTTCGCGACTTTCCTACCTTTTCGCGCATCTGCATCTTCTTTCTTCTTACTCTTTCTCTTCTACTCTTCTTTCTTCTAATCTTCCTCTCCTCTCTGCCTCTTCCCTGCTCTGCTTTTCATCTGTCCATATTGTCGGAAGTTTGACTTCTAAACTTCCTTCGATAATTATACAATATTATATACTGTGAAATGCATGCCATGCATTCGAATCATTTGAGGCTTCCAGACGTTTCAGCTGCCACCTTTCCCCATAACTTTGGGATCAAGGGTGGGACTTTCCGCCAATATCGGCGCGGTGCAGCGCTGGAAAACAGCGCTCTTCGAACCTTGTCTACTTGGAGGACTTCGGGAGCCTTCAAGGTTGCATTTGGGTGTGAGGTTGGCTCCCATTTGCTTCGCATTGGTAGCGGAGCCGGCGTCGAACTTGCCGGCCTGCTGGAGCCCAATTGGATTTGCTGACCTAGGACGACTTTCTTGTGACCACTGCCAAGCTCCACCCGCTCCTACAGCAGATCCCAGAATTCGAAGGTGTGATCCTGCCTGACAATGGCGACTATCGTCAAGCGATGGCACTTCTCAGAGGGATTCATACACCCCATTGTTCTCAGGTCAACCTGCTGAGTATCGAGATTGGAGGAAATGCATCAACTTGTACCACCAGAAGATGGTCTTGGCCAAGCGCAAGGGGGAGTCCATTTTGAACATCGTGGGCTCTCTCACAGGCTCTGCATGGCGCTTGGTGGAGGACTTCGATGTTGCCAAAGCTGAGGAGGACAATGCCTTCCAGGACTTGTTGAAACTGTTTGATCAGCATTTTGAATATGACTCCCGTTGTCAACTCCCTTCAGACTTTGATGGATACTTTGGTTTGAGTCGCGGAGCTGGTCAAACCTTGTTGAGTTTCGTCTCAGAGCTTGATGAGCTGAAGAGGCGACTAGAGAAACACAATGTAGCTCTCCCTGATGCTGTTCAAGGTTGGCATTTGTTGTGAAAGGCAAACTTGACCCGAGAACAAAAGCACCTCATCACCTTGCGGGCGCCCCAGTTGGAGAAGAAGAAGGTGATCGAAGCTCTTTACCTTGTTTTGGGTCAGGACTTCAAAGCTGGTGGACATCAACATGGTGCTGACGGTAGAGGCTTCCATGGCAATCGAGCCTACAAGCACAGTGGCTATGTGGTTCAGGATTAGGACGCTGCTGAGTATGACTATGCGGAGTCCGAATGGCCATCGGAATATGATGATGGTGCCTACTATGGTTGGGATGACAACGAGCCGGACGCTGATGAAGAGCACTGGAATGGGGAGGAGACTCCCAAGCTGCATACTGCCAGACTGATGCTGAGGACGCCCATGAGTATGACATTCCATGGCATGATGTGGAGGCCTATGACTCTGCCTATGCGGCCTACTTGGATGCCAGGAAGAGGTTCTCAGAGCTGAAAGTGAGCCCGGGCTATTTTCCCATCGTTGCTTTGAGCGACCCCTCAGCTGGAAACCTCAGTCCTGGAGTTTCGCAGTCACCATCTTCCAGTCCAAGCTCCAAAGGCAAGAAGGGCAAAGCTGGCGAAAGTTCGTCCAAAGGTGGTTCACCAAAGGGAGGATCTCCAAAGGGGAAAGCTGGTCCTTCCTACAAGTACACCAAGGCTCCGATGAAGCCACATGATCCTCGAGGACGTGCTTCAGCTGCTCTACATTGTCTTCGCTGCGGGCAACCTGGCCATTTTGCAGCGCACTGCCCTGTCCCTGCAAAGACAGGCACCAAGCGACCTGCCACTGAAGCTGTTGCTCAGATGGAAGATGCTCATGTGACCTTCATGGACTTCAAGGGTCACGAGCGCTATGATGTGGCTATGTTGGGCCCAGGTGCCTCTGCATTCCTCAGTGGATTTGGACCTGCTCGCCGATACTTGCAGTTCTTGGAGTCGCAAGGAGACCCCATTCAAGATGTCCAATTCCATCGATGCAGGCACAAGTTTCATTTAGGAGGTGATGGTGAATGTTGGAGCAATTGGGTGATGCAGCTACGCATGTGCATCGCCGGCCGATACGGCCAAGCACAGGTCTTCCTGTACAAGGGAGAGACACCACTTCCCTGCGGACGACCCATTATCGAATCTTTGGGCGTCGTCATGGACTTTCAGAACAAGAAGGTGCGAATGGGCTCTGGTCTGTGGAGGAGTGCCACCATTTGACTTCACGGTGAGTATCTCTTGCCTTTTTGGAGCCTGAGCAGCCGATGGACTTTTCGAGGTCTTGGACTTTGGATTTCGACCTCCGGCTGGCACCTGAAGGAGAAGTGGATCCAATGAGTCTCAACCTGAGACAGTTTGAGAATGAGGAGCAGGCCTTTGTCCTCTTCGACGACTGTGATGCTGCTCCAACAACGCAGTTCGATGTGCACTACCACGACATCAACTACGCACCATCGATGAACACCTTCAAGCTGAAGCCACCCACATCCAAGGTGTCGCCACCTCAGTTTTGCATGAGAAGGGTCGCAAGATCTGGAGGTTTATGCTGGAAAGGGCCGGGCCACAGAAATCGCTGCTGCGATGGGTGCTCAGGTTGAAACTTTCAGCCGTGAAACTGGCTGGGACTTTGACATTGCCAGTCATCGTCTTTGGTTTCTACAACGCCTTGAGTCCGAATGTCCGGACGAAGTTCTTTTGACACCAACTTGTGGACCATGGAGCCCTATGCAGAACTTGAATGCCCGAGATCCAGGACAACAGGCACAACTTCTTGAAAAACGTGAGTGGCATCATGGAACTCACTTGGCTTTTGTGCGAAAGGTCTATGAGACACAAATCAAGAATGGTGGACATGCCGACGTTGAACAACCTGCTCCAGCTCTCAGCTGGAAAACAAGAGCCTTCTCAAGTTTTCCTGGGTTCCGATGCACCTTTGACCAATGTGCCTAAGGATGTCGTTGTTTGGATCAAGATGGTCACTGGAAACCTGTCGGCAAACCACTACTTTCCTCACGACCAAGATGGCCTTGTACCAACAATTTCAATTTCGATGCGATGGCAGCCATGAGCATTGCCCTCTTGAAGGACATGCCAAAGGGTTCGGCATGCGAACCAAGTATCTGGAGAAATATCAGCCTGCCTTTGCCACCGTCTTGGCTGCTGCACTTTTGGCCACTGAGGTTCCGACGATCATGGACTTTGTCGGCGCTGTTGCCGAAGATCGTCAACACCCTGGCGAGCTGATCAAGTTGCTGGCCGAGAACCGTCAAGATGCTGTGAGAAGGGTCCAACGCCTTCACCGCAACCTTGGTCATCCATCTGCGTCCAAGCTGGTGGAACTTGTGGAAGCTCGCGGAGCCTCAAAGACAGTGATCGATGTGGCCAAGGATTACAAATGTGTTGCCGGCCTGAGGTACCACAAGCCCAATCGGCATCTCCTGCAGCTATGCCGACCGCCTCAACTTTCAACCAAGTTGTCCAGGCCGATGTGATGTGGTTCAAGATCCTCGACAAGAAGTACCCAGTGCTGCATGTCATCGATGTGGCCACCAAGTACCAGGCTGCTTGTGTTGTTCATGGTGAACAGAGTCAAGACCTTCAGAAGGCTCTCCAACGCACCGCCTTCGTCCAATCCATAAGGGTCAGTGCATGGACATCCAGTTGAAGTCTAGGGACATAGGCAGCAAAAAATGCAGTGACCCGTTGCCATACTTCAGAAGGAACTTGATCAATAGCACACCATGTTTTCCGCCAGTCGGCCAACCACTTGCTATGAAGAGTGGGGACATCAGCAATGGCTTGGTGTTGGCTTGGGACATCACCAACTTGGCAATTAACCCCAACATCCAACGTTACCTCATTGATCACCGTAGGATTGAGGGTAGTGCATTTTTTATTGCTACTGGTGAAACTCTCCATATGGACAGGGGTATCAAGGTGCAGCAAATGACCTTCCACCGCAAGAATGCCATAGTCCCAAGTGTGATGAAGGAAATCCAAACGGTCTCGTGGCTGTTTCCGCAGGTCTTGGAAGATGCCAGTCATGAGCAATGTGGTCCGTTGGCGGATGTGCCAAGACCCAAAACGATGGAATCTTTTGCTGGCTGCAACCTCAAGTCCAGGAGGTGTGAGTGGAATCCAAGGCAAGGCTGCTGCATCATCAGCACAGTGAGTGGCCCACCAGGAAGTGAATCCTCCACAGAAGCCTGGCGAATGCAAATTACTGTGCCACAATTCTAACCGATAGGTTAGAGCAGCAGGTGTTTGTTTGGCTGCTCGAATGACTGCCACATAGCTCTGTAGCCGGCGTAACTGCCGGAACCAGCTCTGCACATCATGACCCACCAAGTCATTGCGTAGGACAACTTCACTAGGTCGGCTTGGTCGTTGCAGCCGACATTGACTGTTGCACTTCAGTGGGGCTGTGCGTTGAAGACGCCCACGTTGATGTTGATGTCGCTGAAGTTTGCCATCAGGTTGTTTTGGCAAAAAGCCATCAAAGCTCTTTTCAAAAGTTTGGGCCCGCTGTTGCCATTGTTCATCTGGTGGGAGGGAATCACCCCAGGCCGGAGGAGTGGGCTGCGCAGACCATGCAGGATCAACTTCATCATATGGCACCTTTGATCGCCGCGGCCAGACCAATGTGTGGATCGATTCCAAGGGGTTCAATGCCAATGGAAAGGGTGGCATGGTCTTGGAAAAGCTCAGCTACATCGACTTGTCGGCAGAGAGATGCCGTCTCTGGACTCATCCAGATTAGGTCTAGTTCAGTGGCATTTTTGCTGGTATAGCACTTGGGTTGTTGCCATTGTTGCTGCGTTTCAGAAAAGCTGTGAATACCAGATGCCATGGAGATGGCGGTAGCTTCTTTGCCACGTAGTCACGTAGTCCCGTGGGATTTGAAAAGCTCACATGTACCAAGTTGGGTGGACCTGGGTGTAGGGCTCCTCCCCAGCGATAAGTGGCAGGAACATGAACTGGGTGGATGAAGGGCCAACAAAGTCAAGCCCATGGCCCAGTTGTGGTTGGGAATATCGCATGAATGACTGCAGGGAACTGATGGGCATGCCGCAGCCAAGCCCAGGGTCGAACAGACAAAGAAAATCCAAAAGCACAAAGAGAGAAATCCATGGAAAAATCCATAAAGACGACAAAGAACTGGCACTTTCGAAGATGAAAGCCCAGGGTGACGTAGTCATTCATGACGTGTCTTCTTGGACGTGATCATGGTTTCCAACCAGTCAGCCTTGGAGGTGATGACATTGGTCAATTCATTGGCAAGGTCTTGGCGCATGCTTTGGAAACTCATCTGCATGGCTTTGTGAAGTGTTTCCGCTAAGGTGTGGACTTCTTCGGACAGCCGTGAGGTCTGACTGCTGTTGATCAAGCTGACTTTGAAGCTTGAGCAGCTTGTCATCTTGGGCCGCAAGTCGGGCTCCGGTTTCAGAGAACAGGTTCGGTATGGTTCGGTAATGTTGCTGATGTGCCTGCAGTTCAGCCATGCCAACTTCCAGCTGGGTGATGCGGCTGTCAGATGCCAATGATGATGTGCTGCCATTGGCGACCAGCTGTTCCTGCAGTGAGGCCGTAAGATCAGCCTTGAGTCTGTTCTCCAGCTCATCAATGCGCTTCTGTTGCTTTGGATTGTCAGCCGGCGTAGTACTGCTGAAGAAGGTCTTCCAAGGATCTTGGCCAGGCTAAAGCCAGGGGTCCTCATGATGTGGTTGTGTGCTGGACGTGGCTTTCATTGCAGATCCATGGGCTCGTGAGTGAGCTTGGGCACGTGGTAGACCAACCACAGGAGGTGCCTTTTCAACTTCTTGCTTGTCTTTGATCACGGTGATCAGGACATCCTTGGCAAAGGCGGGGAGCACGTTGGCAGAGGGGTCCTCAGCAGCGCCAACATCCCAGGCTGCACCTTCAGAAGTGCCTTGCGCAGGTTGCAGTGGTTTGGCACACTATCTCCAATGTCCGTGCGGGAGTGGATGGAGGCGGAAGACCTTCAAGACATTGACCTTGATGAAGTTGTCTCCAGGTTGCAGGTCGGAGTTCTGCACGTGCTGAAGCTTCATGAATGGTCAACATATGGTGTCGCTGCCGCATGCGAACCAGCGACAGGCCATGCGACATGGTCCGCAACTTGTGCAAGGCAAGGTCTCTGGTGGCCCCGGGGATCCAGATGACTGAGTAGTCTGGATCAGTTGTGGGGTAGCTGATGCTCTGGGTCCAAGTAAACTCCTTCTGCAAAAACTTGTAGAAGTTCTTCAACTGCAGGCGTAGCAACGCGTAAGAAGACCTGGAGCAATTCTGCCTTGTCCGCATTGGTGACCTTGCCATCTAAGAACTGAAAACGACGACCTCAAATTTCATGAATGACCTGATCAAAGTTTTCTTCCACTGCTGCATGGTAGAGTCCGCATTTGAAGTCACACTGCAGGTTGGTGCAGCGTCGTAGCTTTGGAACCAGAGCAATCAGATGTTTGATTGGAGATGCAATGAAGTCAGTCCAATCAGTATTAACTTCATCTCGAAACAGCTGCACCTGCATGACCCTGGTGTCGGTGATCTCCATCTCAGCATGGGAGTCATCCAGGTGACGGCGGGACACTGTCACATCTCCAAGTTGAAGTAAACAGCCATGAATCAAGAGTGGATCAGCCGTAGGCGAAGCGCAAGGAAGAGATGCTGGCTGTGGCTCGCTGGTCCATGGGGATGTCCTCAATGATGAGCAGGGCCAAAGCATCTTGGCATCCTGGATGAATGGCATGGCCTCTTGTTTGGTACAGAGCGCCACCCCCCGTGCTTCAGTGATCACCTGGTCAAGGCTGAGCTGGTCAAGTTGGTCAAAGATGCTGAGGGTCAGGGATCCAAGGCTTCTGTGGCATCCCAGCCGGCTTGCGAGACTTCTTCTTAGAGGAGATGTTGGCTCCATGCTGGTCAGCAGCTCGCTGCTCGATGTATTCCTGGAGCTCACCCTTCAAGACAAACTAACCCAGTTTGGATGCCTGTTGCTTGACAACAAGGATTGTGGTTTTGCAGCGCGGCCTGAGTAGCAGTGACCCCAAGCTTTTTGATAGCTGCTTCCGCTCGGTCAGGGGCTTGTTGACATGGCACTCCTTTAGTGACAAGGAGAGCCGCCAATTGAGTAGCCACTGGGTTGGGTCCAAATCCAACAATGTCCATCCATGGGCCCACACTGCAGGAGGAACTGGTGCAGAAGAAGGGTGGATGACTCATCTGTAGTCCAAGTAGTGCTTGAGCAGTCAGATAGGCAATGGTGCCACATGTGGGCTTCGTTGTGGAATCAGCACCGATTCCTCGAAAGTCCAAGTGGAAATGCCAACTGAGAGAGCTTGCAGTGGAGTGAGCAGGAACAGTGAGACTGCCTGGTAGGCCATGAAGTAAATCCAATGAAAGTCCAATTCACATTACTTCCCAATGTGAAGAGAAAGCGAAAACACAGAGCAAGCCAAAGTATGGGTGCTTCTGAAAAGCCCAAGTGCCAACAATGCCACAGTCCAGGTGGCAGGAAAGTGCAGGGGCAGAGAGCGGATGCACAATGCCAACTTGTGGATGCAGTTGAACATGGAGATCAAGCAGCAAAGTCCAAAGCTGCCAAGAGGAAAGCCCCAGAGAGAGATCTCCAAGTCCGTTAGCAATCAAATCCATGGATGGTTGTGGCCATTGCAAAGGAAGCAAAGCAAGAAGCTTCAGGGGTTTCCACACCCTCGAGTCAGCTCCATAAAGATGACCTTGGTCGTCGATCAGGAAAGTGACAAAGTCCAATCCTTGTTCACGAAGAGCCTCGAGAAGATGAACTGGCCACCGTGCATGGTGTGAACCCGTTGCTGACGATCAAATTGGGTGCTGACCGTGATCTGAGCTGGTGGAGGGTCACGCTGCAGTGGACCTGGAGTCCTGTGGAGACTGATGGGTCCAGCTTGTCAATCAAGAAGCTGACCCAAGTGCAATCGTTGTCCCTGTTGTGAAAGGCTTCCAGCTTCATTCCACTGGAGAGTCAGGCGACAGGCTTGAAGGAGGTGAAGTGCTGTGCAATCCAAAGTGCATTTCATCGCCCAATCACTATGTTCAGGATCAGTGATGTGCAGAAGTCGGGTGTGCTGGTCGAAAGAGTGGCGCAGCTTGCCGACTGAGTTCAGCGCAGTATTTGCGAAGCCAATTCTCAGGGTTGGGGGCACTTTGCTTGCCATAGGTCTTCGCATTAAAGAGCAAGTGGCCATAAACTCAGGTGATCTGAAGTGGAGGGGCAATGGGGCCGAGAAGGGCCAAAGCAGCGCGAACATCTTCGTGATGATGCGCAGAGTCTGGGACCCCAAGCAGGAATGCAGCTTCACGTGGATGTAGGTGTCGAAGACCATCCAGCACCGCTGAGTCCACACAAAATCCACGTAGGCCACCCCTTGAGCAATGTTTCCAGCCGGAATGGAGCCTATGGGCACACGTGCAACGCATTGCCATAGGAATGCAACAGTGCTGGTGCAATGTCAGCCAGTGTCAAGTGATGTTTGTCACTGCCAAACCTGGGTCAGCGTAGAACTGGTGTGCCTCCGCTGTGAGACTCAAGGCCTTCTCATCTTCAAGTGGCCAAACGCCCCAAGTTTCCACGATGTGGCCCACAGTCTGGAAAGTAGATGTAGGAGTCCAAGATTCAAGTGGGGGAACATTCCATGCGGAAGGTTGGAAAACAGCAAATCTAGTATCAGCACGCATCTGACTGCCCTGGCTGGAAAAAGGCTGACATGGGAATCCAAGAGTGGTAGTTCCGATGCTGGAACACTGTTGATGTATGAGTTTGGCACTGCCGAGACAAGTCAAGTCCAATTGAAGCACTGGTCCTTTCGTGTTTCTTTGAAGGTGACTGATTGAAAGTCCATTATGATCAACTGAGACGGCAACTTCACCCCCTAAGAAACTGGTTCCAATGCCCATTCCTCCGAAGCCAGCGCAAAGCTCAAGCACCGCTGGTAGGAGGCCAGAATCTGGTACAGGTGCGGCGCAATGCCAGGAAGATGCCGTAGGGGTCAGCATCAGGATGCCGTCTGTCTCTGCAATCTGGTAGTCACAACGTGACCCGACCAATTGGGGGGCCAGGTTGACAAGAACCCATTTGGAGCCCATCACATAACTTGGTGACTTGAATCACTCAAGTGAACAGCGGATCTCCATGAGTGGAACCAAACAAATGCTCCATGGCACAGTGAAAACGGTGAGCTCAACTTTCGGTTGCTAGCAGGTTAACCTCTAGCAGGCGATGAGCCAAAACCACTTCATAAGGTGTATACATATAATGCCAACATCGGATTAGTCAACCCCCCCAGGTAGGTAGGGGGGTGCCTTCTGGCTAGTTTCTTGACCACCCCTTAATAATAAGCAACTCTGAACCATAAAAATTTGGATATGGCTTACGTCAATTAGATCTTAATAGAATTCTATTGGATTTGTTAAAATCCCATGGATCAGAAAGGTGGTTGATTAATCGGGGGCAAACCAAGGTTATTATTAATGGGGGACATGGGCTCATGGGGGGTACCCTTTGGGAGCTATCCAAACTGATGATTTTAATACAGATTTTAATTAGAAATCGATCATTTGGGGAATCGTCATTTTTTGAATTTTTCAATGATCAACTTAAGCCTTAAGTATAACAATGATGATTAAAAAAAAGGTAAAAACAAATTGGAAATAAATAGAATTGGAAATAAACATTGTTGGATAAAAAATTGATTTCAGCACTGGTGGTTTTTTAATCGGGGGGGGTATTAATCCTGGGGGACCACCTTTTTTTAAATTACATTTTTTTTGGGGGGCAGAGGGGGTTGATTAATACCGCGGGGATTATTAATCCTAACTTGACATTACATCTCATTGCTGCTGGTTAAATTCCATATACAATCCCATGCAACTTGATCATGGCACATATCATTCGTAGATAAACATTGGGGGCATCACTGAATCCCCTGAGGAGTACAAGCAGTGGCGGTCCTCTTAGGAGCCGCGCCGACGAGCCGACGACGCGTTGACCGCGTTGACTGTGGACCTCCCAAGGAGGTTGCATAGGTTGCGTTGATGCCAGTAGTTTTAGTGAGACCCGCACTTTCTTGGGATGATTTTTTCCTACCATCCTTAAGCTGAGCATATCAAACACATACTCTTCAGACTCCCAGATATCCTGTAGCTGCTTCCACGTTTGTTCCCAACATGTTCCAGATGTCTCGAATCTTAGCTGGTGCTTAAGAACAGCACACAGCTGGAATTCAACGTTTCACAACTTTCTAGATTCGCCCAAGCAAGCCTTAATCCAATGCTGGTTGCCTGTCGTGAGAATCCTTCACATTGGCATCAGCAGAAATCTGATTCCAGACATCGTGCGATAGCTCCGCAAAAGAGCCGCCGCGCTCGTCTCCACATGGGACGAGACTGCGAAGTGACAAGTTAAACAAGCCGAACACAGAACATAAATACATTAAATTACATTTATTTACATTTAATTATCATTTATTTACATTTAATTACATTTACTTACATTTAATTACATTTAATTTAATTACATTTAGTTACATTTAACTACATTTATTTGTATTTAATTACATTTAAGGGCTGCCGCCCCTGCCGCCGACCCCGGAGAAAAAAAAGAGGTTTGCACTGTGTTTTCACACAGCTCAAGTGCGGTGATAGATGCAGATTCTACTCGTTGCCTTTTAGGCAAACAGCCAAACAACCTAAAAGACAGAACATGAAATAACCTAATAGATAGACTTTAACCTTAAAAACTAAAATAACCTAATAGGCAGGAATTAGCCTAACCAGAGCTTTTGGGATGCTACTGAAGGACGGAACGACCTCCAAAAACATGCTGCCTCGAGGCTTGACGTCCCTTCTGGATTCTGGTAAAAACAAGGCGAGTTCAGCTGCTGGGCCTGCTGCTGCTGCTGCTCCTGCTGCTGCTGGTGGTGCTGCTGGAGCTGCTGCTGCAAGCCTCCAAAACGCACCCTTCGCCACACCGAAACACCATGCTACTGAAGGACGGAACGACCTCCAAAAACATGCTGCCCCGAGGCTTGACGTCCCTTCTGGATTCGGGTAAAAACAAAGTGAGTTCAGCTGCTGGGCCCGCTGCTGCTGCTGCTGCTGGTGGTGCTGCTGGAGCTGGTGCTGCAAGCCTCCAAAACGCACCCTTCGCCACACCGAAACACCATGCTACTCAAGGACGGAACGACGTCCAAAAACATGCTGCCCCGAGGCTTGACGTCCCTTCTGGATTCTGGTAAAAACAAAGCGAATTCAGCTGCCGGGCCTGCTGCTGCTGCTGCTGCTGCTGCTGGAGCTGGTGCTGCAGGCTTCCAAAACGTACCCTTCGCCACACCGAAACACCATGCTACTGAAGGACGGAACGACCTCCAAAACCATGCTGCCCCGAGGCACCCTTCGCCACACCGAAACACCATGCTACTGAAGGACGGAACGACGTCCAAAAACATGCTGCCTCAAGGCTTGACATCCCTTCTGGATTCTGGTAAAAACAAAGCGAGTTCAGCTGCTGGGCCTGCTGCTGCTGCTGCTGCTCCTGCTGCTGCTGGTGGTGCTGCTGGAGCTGCTGCTGCAAGCCTCCAAAACGCACCCTTCGCCACACCGAAACACCATGCTACTGAAGGACGACCTCCAAAAACATGCTGCCCCGAGGCTTGACGTCCCTTCTGGATTCTGGTAAAAACAAAGCGAGTTCAGCTGCTGGGCCTGCTGGGCCTGCTGCTGCTGCTGCTGCTGCCGCTGCTGCTGCTGCTGGAGCTGGTGCTGCAGGCTTCCAAAACGTACCCTTCGCCACACTGAAACACCATGCTACTGAAGGACGGAACGACTTCCAAAACCATGCTGCCCCGAGGCACCCTTCGCCACACCGAAACACCATGCTACTGAAGGACGGAACGACCTCCAAAAACATGCTGCCCCGAGGCTTGACGTCCCTTCTGGATTCTGGTAAAAACAAAGTGAGTTCAGCTGCTGGGCCCGCTGCTGCTGCTGCTGCTGGTGGTGCTGCTGGAGCTGGTGCTGCAAGCCTCCAAAACGCACCTTTCGCCACACCGAAACACCATGCTACTGAAGGACGGAACGACCTCCAAAAACATGCTGCCCCGAGGCTTGACGTCCCTTCTGGATTCTGGTAAAAACAAAGCGAGTTCAGCTGCTGGGCCTGCTGCTGCTGCCGCCGCTGCTGCTGCTGCTGGAGCTGGTGCTGCAGGCTTCCAAAACGTACCCTTCGCCACACCGAAGCACCATGCTACTGAAGGACGGAACGACCTCCAAAACCATGCTGCCCCGAGGCACCCTTCGCCACACCGAAACACCATGCTACTGAAGGACGGAACGACCTCCAAAAACATGCTGCCCCGAGGCTTGACGTCCCTTCTGGATTCTGGTTAAAACAAAGCGAGTTCAGCTGCTGGGCCTGCTGCTGCTGCTGCTGCTGCTGCCGCTGCTGCTGCTGCTGGAGCTGGTGCTGCAGGCTTCCAAAACGTACCCTTCGCCACACCAAAACACCATGCTACTGAAGGACGGAACGACTTCCAAAAACATGCTGCCCCGAGGCTTGACGTCCCTTCTGGTTTTGGTAAAAACAGAGCAAGTTCAGCTGCTGGGCCCGCTGCTGCTGCTGCTGCTGGTGAAACACCATGCTACTGAAGGACGGAACGACCTCCAAAAACATTCTGCCCCGAGGCTTGACGTCCCTTCTGGATTCTGGTAAAAACAAAGCGAGTTCAGCTGCTGGGCCTGCTGCTGCTGCTGCTGCTGCTGCTGGTGCTGCTGCTGGAGCTGGTGCTGCAGGCCTCGCTGCTGCTGCTGCTGCTCCTGCTCCTGCTACTCCTTTTGTTCAAAAAGGTATCTTCAAAAGGCAGTCGCCTAAAATCGAATGGCAAAGCCGATGGCAGTGAAGGACGGAAAAGCATCAAAATTGCGCCCAAAAACTCCCCAATGTAACTTTTGAAACCTAAAGAAAATGAGCTTTTTTAGCGACTTTTTCCTCCTGTTTCCTCCTCCTGGTGCTGCTGCTGCTCCTGCTCCTGCTACTCCTTCTGTTCAAAAAGGCATCTTCAAAATGCAGTCGCCTAAAATCGAACCACTCCCAGCGGCAAATCCCCATGGCAGTGAAGGACGGAAAAGCAGCAAAATTGGCCCAAAAACTCCCTAATGTAACTTTTGAAACCTGTAGAAAATGAGCTTTTTTAGCGACTTTTTCCTCCTGTTTCCTCCTGCTGCTGCTGCTGCTCCTGCTCCTGCTACTCCTTCTGTTCAAAAAGGCATCTTCAAAATGCAGTCGCCTAAAATCGAACCACTCCTAGCGGCAAATCCCCATGGCAGTGAAGGACGGAAAAGCAGCAAAATTGGCCCAAAAACTCCCTAATGTAACTTCTGCAACCTATAGAAAATGAGCTATTTTAGGTACTTTTTCTTCCTGTTTCCTCCTGCTGCTGCTGCTGCTGCTGCTCCCGCGCCTGCTACTCCTTCTGTTCAAAAAGGCATCTTCAAAAGGCAGTCGCCTAAAATCGAACCACTCCTAGCAGCAAATCCCCATGGCAGTGAAGGACGGAAAAGCAGCAAAATTGCGCCCAAAAACTTCCTCATGTAACTTCTGAAACCTATAGAAGATGAGCTATTTTAGCTACGTTCCCCTCCTGTTTCCTCCTGCTGCTGCTGCTGCTCCTGCTATTCCTTCTGTTCAAAAAGGCATCTTCAAAAGGCAGTCGCCTAAAATCGAACCACTCCCAGCGGCAAATCCCCATGGCAGTGAAGGACGGAAAAGCAGCAAAATTGGCCCAAAAACTCCCTAATGTAACTTTTGAAACCTGTAGAAAATGAGCTTTTTTAGCGACTTTTTCCTCCTGTTTCCTCCTGCTGCTGCTGCTGCTCCTGCTCCTGCGACTCCTTCTGTTCAAAAAGGCATCTTCAAAAGGCAGTCGCCTAAAATCAAACCACTCCCAGCGGCAAATCCCCATGGCAGTGAAGGACGGAAAAGCAGAAAATGAGCTTTTTTAGCGACTTTCCTCCTGTTTCCTCCTCCTGGTGCTGCTGCTGCTCCTGCTCCTGCTACTCCTTCTGTTCAAAAAGGCATCTTCAAAATGCAGTCGCCTAAAATCGAACCACTCCCAGCGGCAAATCCCCATGGCAGTGAAGGACGGAAAAGCATCAAAAATGCGCTCAAAAACTCCCTAATGTAACTCCTGCAACCTATAGAAAATGAGCTATTTTAGCTACGTTTTCCTCCTGTTTCCTCCTGCTGCTGCTGCTCCTGCTCCTTCTCCTGCTATTGCTTCTGTTCAAAACGGCATCTTCAAAAGGCAGTCGCCTAAAATTCTTGCTGCTGCTGCTGCTGGTCTGGGCCAAAAACTCCCTAATGTAACTTTTGAAACCTGTAGAAAATGAGCTTTTTTAGCGACTTTTTCCTCCTGTTTCCTCCTGCTGCTGCTGCTGCTCCTGCTCCTGCTACTCCTTCTGTTCAAAAAGGCATCTTCAAAAGGCAGTCGCCTAAAATCGAACCACTCCCAGCGGCAAATCCCCATGGCAGTGAAGGACGGAAAAGCATCAAAAATGCGCCCAAAAACTCCCTAATATAATTCCTGAAACCTATAGAAAATGAGCTATTTTAGCTACGTTTTCCTCCTGTTTCCTCCTGCTGCTGCTGCTGCTCCTGCTCCTTCTCCTGCTATTGCTTCTGTTCAAAAAGGCATCTTCAAAAGGCAGTCGCCTAAAATTCCTCCTGCTGCTGCTGGTGCTGCTGCTGGAGATGGTGCTGCAGGCCTCGCTGCTGCTGCTGCTGCTGCTGCTGTTGCTGGCTTCCAAAACCCTCTCTGCCCTGACACGCTCCCCCTTGCCGTCGGCCGGGGTCGGCGGATTTGGTTACATTTAATTACATTTTATTATTCCCCAACAGCGTGAGCTAATGGGGTCTTCCGCCCAGAATAGCTCCGGTGTGCACTGGTGCAGGCGCCGGGTCACGTTCAAAGGGTTCTGGAGAAGGTTCCAGAGAAGGTTCCGCAGAAGGTCTGGGAGGCTTTGGTGCAGAGCCAGGTCAGGTTCAACAGGGTTCCAGAGAAGGTTCCAGGAAGCCTTGGTGGAAAGCCAAGTCAGGTTCAACAGGGTTCCGGAGAAGGTTCCGGGGCTTTGGTGCAGAGCCAGGTCACATGGTTCCGGAGAAGGTTCCGGAGAAGGTTCTGGAGAAGGTGAGAAGGTCTGAGAGGCTTTGGTGCAGAGCCAGGTCAAATTCAACAGGGTTCCGGAGAAGGTTCCAGAGAAAATTCCGGGAGGCTTTGGTGCAGCGCCAGGTCAGCTTCAACGGGGTTCTGGAGAAGGTTCCGGAGAAGGTCTGGGAGGCTTCGGTGCAGCCGGTCAGGTTCAACGGGGGTTCCGGAGAAGGTTCCGGAAGGTTCTGGAGAAGGTTCCGGGAGGCTTTGGTGCAGCACCAGGTCAGGTTCAACAGGGTTCCGGACAAGGTTCCGGAGAAGGTCTGGGAGGCTTTGGTGCAGAGCCAGGTCAGGTTCAACAGGGTTCCGGAGAAGGTTCCGGAGAAGGTTTGAGGAAGCCTTGGCAGAGTCAGGTTCAACGGGTCTGGAGAAGGTTGCAGAGCAGGTCCCGGAGAATGTTTTGAGAATCTTTGGTGCAGGGCCAGGTCAGGACAGGGTTTCCAGCGCTTGGCTTCGCAGCACGCTTCAGAACGATTTCTAAAAATAAAACGTTGCGGCAGTTGGGGATACCACCGAAGCTTATATTTTATTTCCTTTTTAACATTTTACTACATTTTATTACATTTTATAGCATTTTATTTACATTTTATTACATTTTATTACATCATATTCATAAAACATCATAAGTTTATAAATGATCTAGATTTGCAACATGTGCAACATGAGCAACATCACGGATCTCCACAGTCGAGGACACGTGTCGACAGCAAATCACCAGGTGAGTCAGGACGTGGAGCTGCAGCTGGTGCAGTACAAGCGGGAAGTCCAGGAAGCGGAGCAGGCACCTAGCGCAACGACAGGGGGGAACTGTGGCATGAAATGACACAGAATGCCAGTGCCAGATCTGCAAACTGCGAAATTCGATAGGGAATTGTGAGTTGCATAGTTTTTGTCCATCGCATCTCTTTCGCCAAATTTTTCGGGTGTGTTCTGTCTTTGGTGCAAGGTCATCGTGCAGGAGCGTCACAAGTGGCTGACAAACAGGACCTGCGGGGACAAACAGTCTATTCTTTTTCCAGCTGGAATCACACATTTTCATCACCACTCAAATGCAATAGTATGGCTGAACATTTCGGTTTCAAGCACATGGACGAGTGAGATATATTGAGGTATCTCGACATGTCTCCTGGGGGCAAGGTGTTTTGAGGTGAGGTGCAGTCACAGAAGTTTATCCGCACTCAGACCTGGAAGGATCGTGGTTCTTCAAAGCAACGGCAGCGGCACGGTGAATCCGAACGACAGGCAGGGGCCACATCAAGCTACAGATTGGCACTTATGGTGACTGCGATTCCTCAACACACTCGGTGTATCTCGGTGTATCTCGGTGTATTGTCTCTTTTAACACCACCCCAAGCTCCTTGACTCCTTTGTCATGATGTGCGTGGAGCTTCAGAGTGATCGCGTAGCTGCAAGTAGAGTGCATTTTGCTATATAGCCGTTGTCCGTGGTTCCTGAAGATTTTTTGCACAGGGCCAGCAGATGTCCCTTGGCTGAGGCCCCTCCTCTCTCGACTTCGTGCAGAGTGGGAAACTAAGTGAAATAAGTCTAAAGCTTTCAAGAACTCCTCCGTTCCATGGGATGGTCCTTTGACACTGGACAAAAAGATGCCACAATATTTTCCGTTCGCAAGGCTGCAGGCCTGTGAAGTCAAGATGGAGGCGTACAAACGCGATCTTGCTTGAGTCTCTGGAGCATGACAAAATGGAATTGTTGAATCCTCCTTGGAAGAAAAACATCCAGAATTGCCAATGATTCTGAATATTCTCCGACATTCTCCGACATTCTCCGACATTCTCCGACATGTGGCATGGCTGAAGTGGCTGAGGCCATGGTGCCAGCTCCAGAGCCCTGCAACGAGCCACGACCACGGCGTCATTCAGACGAGTTGGCGTCGGCTCAAGCGCCTTTGGCACCTCTGGCGCTGTGGCAACGACCCCACCGTGGCCTCCGCCTCTGTGAATCGCCTGACTTCGGGAGACCCCGAGAGCCTCGCGACCACCGGGACCACCGAGAGCATCGGGACTGGCGACCGCCCCTGTCCCAATCAACACGGATGAAGGGCGACATTTTTGGAGGCTACAAGGAGATGTCCATTCCGACGCAGGCCACCTTCGGCTGAAGAGGGATAGATTCGCCTATGTATGCACCATGCTGTGTATATATATATATGCATATATATATATATGTATATATATATTACACGTAGAGTAATATACATACATATTTTTATTTGTTTATTTATTTATTCATTCATATCAATATTTAAATGTATATTCATATTCATATATTTATATTCATACATCATACATTCATACATTCATACATTCATATATTCATATATTCATATATTCATATTCATATATTCATATTCATATTTGTATTCATACATTCATATATTCATATTCATATTTGTATTCATACATTCATATTCATATTCACATATTCATATTCATATATATATATATGTAGAGTTGTACTTATTGATATATATATACAGTATATATATATATATTGTATTTACTGCAATATTGCACGTACATCTTCACAGTAAGTGCAGTTTCACACTTTGGGCGGGCGCGATCTTCAGAGTCTCTGGGTGTCATGAGCGAAGGAGAATCATAGTGGCAAACCACTCACCGAGCAGCTTTTAAAAAAATAGAAGCAATATTTGTGATGGTTTTATTGGTACTTTTTGCATGATGGGATCACATCCTATATTGAAACCCGCGGGTTTCTGGCTGTGTCTCAAGCAGAGCTCCCCATTCATTGTGCTGAAACATACCCACAAATTCTCGGCTGTGTACATGGGTGAAACGTAACAGGCCGAACCCTTGGGTGGGGTCCTGAGATCTGTGAGTTTCATTTCACATCCAAGCAGTTGATGCGGTGGATATGGATAGATATGGTATGATATGATTTGTGTTTTAGACAACCAGCTTTTGCACCCTGCTTCAAGTCTGAGTTTAGCTCGTTTCATCTTCCCGATGGCTTTCTTGCTGAGGCTCGCCTCCACGCCAAGTGAAGATGTCAGAAATCCTACTGTAGATCAAACGCAGAAAGAACTGAACGGCTGCAGAAGATTTCGCCAATCCAACCAATTCACATTTGTCCCAAAGTAAAACCAGTGCTGGTGTGATCGCTGTGCAGAACGAGGTCCCCGGGCAAACGCCCGAAGCTACCACCTGTACCACTTTCAGCTCGCTGAGCAAGGCACTGCCAAAGGGACCAGAAAGATAGGACTTGAAGCTGTTGAAGTTATTTATGTTGATTTATGTTGTTTGAAGTTTAGAATGTTTAGAATGTTTGGATCTTACAGTTGGCCATTCGCTGCCATTTCGAAAGCTGTTTGCTCCACTCACTACCGCAGCCTCGTCCAAACTTTGTCTCTTGGAGACACCTGTGCGCAGACCACGAGTACCAATCAGTCTTAGTCAACTTTTGCTTGACGACTGTATGGATTTGGAAGGTAAATGGCATTGCTCCAAAGTGAACAACTTTGACAACTTCAATTGGTGCCTGAGGGCAGTGAGGCCGGTAGCTAGCACCGATGAACACCTGTAGATATATTCTATCTCTGTATATACACGTTGGTCCCTGCAACGTCAAAGGATGTTGACTGGGAACGTGAATATGGTCAGTATGCACATAGCAAACCAAGTAAGCAACACCTTTGCCACCTTGAAAAGACTTTTTTTGAAAGTCAGTTGCAAGTGTTCATGCTGAGACCACCCCATGCTTGGCTAGCGTCGAGCTGAACAGATTTCACCGCCCCAAGACACATGAGTTGCACTTCCGATCCTTCCTTTGACTTGAGATGCAGCAGATTTGTGATTGCATTGATTGGAGCCCTTGAAGCCCGTTCCTGCGCAAATGCATGTGACCTGAAGGGCATTGTGCTGGAATGAGGCACCAAAAAGGCTGAGTTGAGTGTGGTCGAAATTTCGCAAGCTTGTAAGCCAGCTGGCACTGAATCACACTGCGCATCTGACCTACCAGTACTACCAAACATCCCGCTGGGTGAAAAGCACGACGTGAATCACTTTCTCAGTATGTCATTCTGCAGACTCCATGCTCAATGGATCTCAAGACTCAAGACTCAAGACAGTGCCCTCACTTGTAAGAGATGCCTTCAACTGGCTAGAAGCATGGAGCAAGGCACCTGTTTTCACCCTGTCGAATGTATTCTGGCAGTACAAGATAGTCAGAGTCAGAGCTGTTTTCACCGTAGCATGCTCTACTTCCGGGATATTTGTTTGAGGGCCTCCAATGTATCTCAAATTCGACAGAACCACCGAAAGCAAAATCAAGTCTCACCAGAAGCTCACCATATAGAGAATCACCATATAGAGTAGAGAATCAGAATGAATCAGAAGCAAAAAAAGATCGAGCCTTGCAACAAGCAGACCACGTAGTAGTCAAACGTGCTAGCGGCTGTGCCCCTGGCAAAGTATGCATTGGGCAGCATGCTTTGGGGAAAGGAGGATGGACTCCTGTGATGCTGAGAACCGCAAATGACACTTGCAACCGCAAAGTGTTCAGCATATATAGATGAATCTAAGATGCGTAAGACCTGAATCCACTTTGTCCATGTCATATAACTCAGCAAGCAAGTTGCTTCCGCATACTTTGTTGCCGTTGCCTTTGGATTCTATAGACCAACACACATGTTCAGGGAAAACAAACACATGTTCAGGGAAACATGTGCTTTCTCATCACAACAGGCCAGTTTTTCACTATGAGTTTTTGGTTTCGGGCAGGTGATCGACAAACTTCTCAGTGTGTTGTATCACCCTCCACTACTATCACTACTTCTATAGGGACCATTGTCATAGTGCACTCCAGTTGTGCTGCGATTGCTTTAGAAGCAAAGCAAGCTGGGAGTCAGAAGCCGCATGAAAAGATGGATAAATGAGGGCCATATGCATTATATATATATACACATTGTGCAAGAATACAGTGTACATTGTGTATAATATGTGTATATATATTATAATATATATACAATACAATGTGTACATATATATGTATTATGTATACAATATAAATATTTTGTTATTTCATTGTTATATAATTACTACATCAGTATTATATCATTTGAATCATTACTGTATTATATGTCATAGAGAAGACTATATGCACATAGATGCTGTACAGTCAGTTCCATGTTCCCAGGAGCTGCGTGAGCTCTACATCTTGGCCAAGCGAACCATTGTGGCTCAACAGAAGCTGAAGCCGTGGCATCAAGTGTGAAAACTGTATATATATATACATAATATATGAATATATAATATACACATAATAAGAAGAAATTACTCGAATGAACCCCTGCTCGTAATATGCATGTTCATACCACATAGTGGTCCCAAAACGGAGCCCACTATATTGTTGTTGCCTTTGACTGTAAAGTGTACATTATGTCATGGCTTTTGCAACATGAAATAGACTATCCAATATGTTACCTAGAATGATAACTTGTTCCATACTCCTGAAATCCGGGGTAAGGTCATAAACCCATACTTGGCCAACAATGTTTGGCTCAAGGTGCCCGCAAAAAAGGTGTTGTTAGCTTTGCTTTCACTGGTTAACGTCACTTATTCTGCACCAACTTTCAAATCAGTTACAATCACTTACAACTGGTACAAATCTTGCGACCACTGAATTGTTCCTATTTTATCTGGTTATCAGCCGTAGCCCGGCTCTAATCATTCAGTTGTGGGATCATTGAAGTCCGTGGACGGCATTGCACATTGATTGACCAACAACAGATCATTGAGCATATCTTCTAGGAACCTTGCAATCCTGTTCTCTCGCGCTTGCGCGATACTCGATTTTCTCGCACTTGCGCGACTTTGATGGTCTTCGCGCTTGCGCGACTGGATGAGCGGCAGGAGGGATCGCTCTAGGTCTCGACCGAGAAACCGGAGGGTGCAGAGGTGGAAATCCTTGGAGAGCATCTCAGGTGTCTAGGTACGATCGCGGGGTTAGCAGTGCTTTAGATTTCGCATCGCCGGCGCAGCTTGCCCGGACTCCTCCGGCCCGAAGGCCAACTCCTCCGGGACCACCGCCAGGGGTCACTGAGTCTGGATCGTGGCGCTGGGTTTGGGTTCCTGATTGGCCAGACGTTCAGGACGAGCAAATCAAAACTTCGAAATTTGCTTAGCGCCACAACGGCGTGCACTTTCTCGACATCTCAACTTCCAAAAGTGGTCCGCGATCGTCAGTTATTAAGACTTTTGACTTCAAAATGTGCTTCGTGCCAGAACGGCGTGCAGTTTTTCGACATCTCAACTTCTAAAAGTGTTCCGAAGCTGAGGTGTTTTGCGCATTTTGACTTCGAAATGTGCTTCGTGCCAGAACGGCGTGCAGTTTTTCTACATCTCAACTTCTAAAAGTGCTCCGAAGCTGAGGTGTTTTGTGCATTTTGACTTCGAAACGTGCTTCGCGCCACAACGGCGTGCAATTTTTCATCTCTCATCTGGCCAGATGGCTCCGCGCCCGCCGCTTTGGCGAGCCTACTTTTCGACCCGCCAGAGCCACAAATCATTGGAAAAACAAAGTGAATCGCGACTTTTCTACCTTTTCGCGCACCTGCATCTTCTTTCCTCTTTCTCTGTCTCTTCTCTGATCTTCTCTCTTCTGCTCTTCGCTTCTCTGACTCTGCCCACCTCTGGTTTTCTTTCTGTCCACTTTGTCGGAAGTTTGACTTCTAAACTTCCTTCGATATATATATATATGTGTGTAAACACACACACACATATATATATTTATGTAAATACACATATCTATCTATCTAATCTATCTGTCTATCTATCTATCTACCTATCTATCTATCTATCTGTCTGTCTGTCTATCTATCTACCTACCTATCTATCTATCTGTCTGTCTGTCTATCTATCTATCTATCTGTCTGTCTGTCTGTCTGTCTGTCTGTCTGTCTAACTGTCTATCTATCTGTCTATCTATCTATCTATCTACCTATCTATCTATCTATCTATCTGTTTATACCTATCTAAATATGGCATAACATCAACATCCCAAACGCAGCATACTTCCGGGCTATAAATAGATTGCGTACATTTTTTTTGACAAGTTCAACTCACAAACACGTGCGATCAAAAAATGTATGAAAGATAGGGTGCAACTTTAATTTGGACTACTATGGACTAGTCGCGCATGGTAGACGTCACATATTTTTGGTTTTCAGGTGGCCTACATCCGAATGGCTGCTACGGTGATTATCGCCGTAGTGGTGCGATTGTGTTTTGCTCTCAGTGTTGGATTTTCTGTTAACTCTTGGTACTGTATCGGAGGGCCGGTAAGGACCAACGCTTTTCAGTGCGGTTCAGATAAAATGGTTTCCATCAATTTTGGTTATTATAGAATTTTGGAAGTTCACAAATCCCAAAGTAAATTATAGTAAAAAACCAGTCGAGACCGATTCCTCACAGGCTGCTGTAACTATTATTTGAACCTTGCAAAGGTGGATGGCAAACCTGTCACCGTCAGGGAATGGCGGTGTTTCTTTTGTGATAGTTATGAATGCCATTTATGCTTGCATGTGAGCCTTTTGACGTATTTTCTCGAGGCTGCCATGTAGCAGAATCGGTGCTTCAATTGGGGAAATATGATTTCAAAGACAGCCAAGATGCATGGCAGCACGGGGGCACGCATTTGCCCCTCACTTGCAACTCTTCAGAACCAAAGTCTTGCGAGGCCTGGACTGTGTGGGACTCATTTTAACGCAGCAAGATGCACTTTCAGCCAGCTTTTGGCCCTGAGCCCCAGTGAGTGCCAACTGATTGCTTCACCCAGTGCGTGAAACAAGAAACACTTGCAAAACCGTTTTTTTTTTCCCCGTTTTTTTCAACCCACATGATGGCCCACATGTGTCCTTTTCTTTCAATTTGGTCAGTCAAAGAAACTTGAATCGACCTGACATATCCAATGACACCTCTGCCGTCATTGGCCGAAGAGATTGCTGACAGATACAGCAACAGAGATGAACAAAGATGTAGCAGCGCAATGTTCAAGAAAAAACCCATTCCAAACAACCTGAAAGCGAAACCATTTCAGATATAACGAATTCAACTCATTCAATAGATTCAATAGTCACCGTGAGAATTTCAAGGCATTGGACCCAGGCAGCAAACTAGGCAAAACATGGCAAAACGGCAAAACCACATTTTGTTTTGCTTTGGCCCGTTCGCCTGCTTGGTTTGTTCATGGGGCAAGCATCTCTGGCCACCTTCTATCTTGTGTTTGGTGTACTCACCATCTACCTGAACCTGGAGTCCATTGGCATTTGGGATGCCAATGGCATTTATCGTAGCGTGTCATCCGCGCTTCGGGAGTACCCATTCCCTGTGGTCAACAGGACCAGATACTTGGATGAAGTTCAAGACCCTGAGCAGGTGTACTCTTGGATGGTGCATTCCTTCAAACCCATCTTGTTTAGGGAACAAGACAATATGAGTGCTTGGAGATCATGGAATTACAGCCGGACTCCAGCGACTGTGGCTAGTTTCAATCGAGTTCTTTTGGTCCGCTTTACTTTCAAGCGCTGGGTGGCTGAAGAAACGGCTGGTTATTTTCGGAAGTCCACCCCATATCGGCTTGCAGGTGGCACTAGCAGTCTCAATCCATTTGGTATCAACCATGTGGAGGATAGAGCCACAGTCTGTGGGGCAAATGCATCGCAATGCTTCCCATGGCAAACGACATATAGCTTTGACAAAGTTGGAGGCTACACAGAGTTCTTTGATCCACTGGAGGGTCCAGATGCCTATGATACTCTTTTGTCGAAGATGCGTGAAGCTGGTTTGTTTGACATGCTCATGGCAACGTGCACTGTGGACATGATACTCTACAACGCCAATGTTGACATGTTCTTGCAATATGTCCAAGGCTTTTCATTTGATTTCTGTGGCCACATGCATTTGTCCAATCAAGCTCGCAGCTTCAATTTGAATGTCTTCAATACAGCAGTGGCAGAATACATGGTTCTCTATGTCATGAGAGTTGTTTGCATTGTGATGGTAATCATCTTCGGGCTCATCGAGATCCAACGGATGTGGGACCTTGGTTTTATTGCAGCAATGCAGCAGAACGGAGCAGTCACGGACATGATTTCCATCACGACTTCGTTTGGCGTGTTGCTCTCTTACTGGATCATTGAGCAAATGCCACCCTTCAAGGACTTCAAGTTTGAGGCCTTGCAGAATGTGAACTCCAGAGCAGATACGTACGTTTCCCTGTGCGATGTGGCCAGAAGTTTGCAGATTCAGGGACTTTTCATTGCGTTGAACTTGCTGGTGGTGAGCCTACGAACAGTCAGTCTAGTCTCCGGACTGCACAGCAATCTCGGCCTGATTCTCAAAGTTCTCGGTGTATCTGCGCCCAATTTCGCAGCCTTCATGGTGCTGTTTGGAATGCTTCTAATCGGCTTCGTTCTGACCAGCTTTTTCGCTTTTGGGCCTGGATATTCAGGAATGAGCAATATTGGGCTTTGCATCTACCAGAGCTTTTCGATGCTCAGTGGCAACATGGTCTTTGACGATATATACCGTGTGGACAACATTCTGGCTCCAATCTACTTCTTTCTGTTTTACATTTTGTTCTACCTCGTCCTGATCAACGTTTTTGTGACACTTCTCATGAGTGGGTATGATGCAGTTGACTATGAACTTCAAAAGAAGGGTGACACGGACTCGGAAAAGAATCCATTAGTCCTGATTTTGGAAGAGCTGAAGGCTGACGTGGTTGGAACCATCCTAAGATATGGTAGCACTGCAATCAAGTATGCACGCTTTTGTTTGGATCCCATTGTGGTGTCCGTCAAAGCTACCTTTGCTTGCTGCCGTGCCCCTTCCTTCCTGACCAACCCCTTGAAAAGACTGCAAAGTCTGCGAAGCACCACCATTGCTGAAAGCGGCATGTTGCCCACCGCAGATGTAGATCATGTGGATGTAAGCAAGAATCGGCAGAATCTTGTAGCATTTGTTATGATGCTTTTGTTCCTGGCAGTTTGGATAACCCTCGTGACAGTACAAGGGCGTGGTTTAGACTCTTACCTGACTGGGCAAGCCACTCTAGCAAATAGTGTGCTCGACATCATGTTCAAATCAGATGACGACATGAAGGCCTTTCACCAAATCAACACATTCACAGACGTCAAGAGTTGGGCAGATACTGCCATAGTTGGACTGTACGACAGTCCGGTCTGTGCAGAAAGTGGTGCCAGCCAGTGGACAAGCAGTGCCGGCTGCAGCAGCATAAGCAATTCGCAGCAGCTGTTGAATCGCATTGCCAACTGGAACATTGGCTTCCTGAACACCACCTTTGTGCGCCTTACAATTCAGCCAGCCTGCTTTGTGGCCACAGAGGAAAGGTGGGCATCGGGTTCACCAACTCTGAGAAAAACTCCAGATGTGGATTGTTGGAACTCTGTCTGTACCAAAGTCCTGTCCACGGAGCCATGCAGAACAGCAGATGGTGAGATTCTGAACGCACAAAGCCTAGCAAATGCCATCAACTCATCACTTCTACCAGACACAGTCAGCTTTGGATATGAAGCTCCAGGAAACCATTTGGGGTCTTTCCGGATGCTTGGAGGTCTTGCGTTTAGCTTGGGAGTCAAGAAGGAGCAGTGCCAAGATATGCTGGCGCTATTAGAGGACAACAGATGGTTTACAAAGAATTCAGCCTCCATGGTATTTGACTGGTTGACATACAATGGGAACATGGACTTTTTTACTCACAATGTTGTGGCCTTCAGTCTCTTGGAGACCGGCATTCTGCATAAATCCAGCGAATCAAGAACTTTCCCTATGAACGTTGAGGCTGGTGGCGGCTACTTTAGTCTTCAGATAGTGGTTCTGGTTCTGTTTGGGCTCTATGCGCTCTTGCTCTTGTACCACATCATTGACCTGTGCTGGCAGATGCGGTGCATGCACTTGAAGGCCCGTCGAATACACCGCCCATTCAAGGCTTTCTTATCTTTCCTGAAAGACTTCTTCACTGAACCATGGAACTTGGTGGAGCTGGTATCGCTCATCATTTCCCTGGGAACACTTGTTTCGTTTCTCGTCCTGATGCTGAATGGATTCAGGTCCCAGTATAGATTCAGCACAGGAAACTCCGCGGGCTATGTGGTGCCGAACATTGATGTTAGGTACTACAAGATGAAACCGGTTGTCGATCCTGAGCGATACTTGGAAGATGATTGGTTTGTCTTCAACCAGTTCGAACAGGTTGCAGTTCTTCGTGAAGTCTTCTTAGAGTTGGCAGCTTTGAACAGCTTGTGGGCTGGCATCAAGGCCATCAAAACTATGAGCAACTTCAGTATGATGAGCACCTTCAGCAATACCTTGGCACATGGCAAAAGCAGAAACTTGTACTTCATCATTGTCATCAACCTGCAAATGCTAGGATTTGCTTTGGCCATGACAGTGATTTTCGGGACGATGGTAGAGGACTTCAGCAGTCCTTTGTCAACCATGGGAACGCTGCTATACTGGGTTTGCGGCGAATCGCACTTGGGACCCTTGATATCCGTGAGCCCTTTCTTTGCTGTTCTCTTTTTTGTCGCCTTCACAGTTGTCTTCCGATTTATCAGCACCAACATGTTCTTAGCTACGCAGTTGAACACCTTTGCAGCTTTGGTTGGAGAGTGTGACATCCAAGTGGCCAAGAAGGAGGCGGAGGCCAAGATGGGCATGAAGCAGGTGAAGTATCGTAATCGAAAGGAGCTGCAAAATGAGCTTGAGCTGGAGCTAAAGATAGATCAGGTGAGGGTCAAAAAGATTCTAAGACCAGGGAAAACCACGAAGGCAAATGTCAAACCTGGAGATTTAGTGTCTAGGGTGAACAAAGAGAAGGTCGAATGGCAATCCACTCTTGCTATTGAGGAGTATGAACATGTAGAGCGTGCCCTAATGCCAGAGGCCGATGGATCTATTACTATCATGTTCCAGGATCCTCCGAGGAAGACTATGCTCGCTAAAATGAAGAAGCGCATATTTTCCATTTGCAACAGGTGCTGCGGCTGTCTCTCAAAGGGGCAAAAGGTGAAACCTGCGCAGAAAATGTCCGAGGAGCTTCATGCAAGGCCTCACTTGAGACCAACAGTGCGCAATTTCTGGAGATTTCACGGTGCAATCGCAGAGGTGGAGAAGGAGTTGGGTGATTGGGTCAATTGGGCGATCGGGTCAAGCAGATCTATATATGTCATACTGTATATCTAATTATCTATCTATCTAGAATATATATATAATATATAATATATATATATAATATAATATATATATATAATATAATATATATATATATATAATATATATAATATATATAATATATATAATTATTAATAATAATGATAATAATAATAATGATAATAATAATAATAATAGTAATAACAATAATTATATATATATATATAATATTTCTTTATTTGTTTATTTATTTATTCAACATCTTGGTTCAGAAATTCCGATTCAGCAACCAGCCTTCTTGCAGTAAAATCATGTGTCAAGGATTCACCAAGAACTGCTTGATTCAGGGTTCAGGCCAATGTTTGTCTGATTGTACAACCAAACTTGTCCCCTTGAATTGAATTGGACTCAGCTGTTCATCATTGTAGAATGGTATATGGTCACCGACAGAATTATGGGAAAAACAAGTTTAAATTAGACAGGCGCTCGCCTGTCTCCGTTTTTTCCCCATAATTAGGGTTTTCCCCGTAAGGGTTCAACATTTCCCGGATGTGATCTGAGCCTTTTTTTTTCCATACTTTTTGGAGGGGCCCGAAAATTTCCATAATTGTTTTTTCAGTGTAATCACGGGTTGGAGCAAATTAACTCGCTTTTTTCCATTATTTTTTTAGTTTTTTCCATAATTAATCTTTGGGGTTCCACCTGTTGGCCATGTCATGGATCGACATTTCAAACCCAGTTTTTTGTATCGAACATGCCATCAACCAAATTGGTGGCTTTGGCACTGGCAACAATGTTTCTTTTGGTGGTGCAACTGAAGGACAAATATGTGTACTTGTCGTTGTAGATTGGTCATCCTGGACGACCATTTCTGGGAAAAGTTAATTGTAGAAAAAACATGAAAGAACAAGAACGGTAAGACAAATTGCTTCACAAAATATCATCCAAAAAGGGTAGCCGGTCAGATCCAGCCCCAGAAGTGCATTTTTGAATCGAGAACGCCTTTTAAAATTGTTCCGAAAAAGCGGGAGGAAAATCTGACGAAAGTCAATGCCAACAATAATGAAATAGATTTGAACAAATGATGAAAAAGCATGGTAACATACTGAAATAGGCTGGACAATTACTTGAAACGAACGAACAAAATACTGAAATAGGTCGGGCAATTGCTTAAAACCAATGGTAAAAGGTTGAAATAGCTTGGAAAATTGCTTAAAACATCTTAAAACCAATGGCAAAATGACGAAATGTATTTTGGGCCCCCTGATCAACAAAGTGTGCGTACTTTTCGTTATAGATTGGTCATCCTGGACGACCATTTCTGGGAAAAGTTAATTGTAGAAAAAACATGAAAGAACAAGAACGGTAAGACAAATTGCTTCACAAAATATCATCCAAAAAGGGTAGCCGGTCAGATCCAGCCCCAGAAGTGCATTTTTGAATCAAGAACGCCTTTTGAAATTGTTCCGAACAAACGGGAGGGAAAACTGACGAAAGTGAATGCCAAAAATGCTAAAATAGATTTGAAAAACTGATGAACAACCATTTTGAAAGATGTTGAACATCTGCTGAAAACGAACCGCAGAATGCTGAAATAGGTCGGGCAATTGCTTAAAACCAATGGTAAAAGGTTGAAATAGCTTGGACAATTGCTTAAAACATCTTAAAACCAATGGCAAAAGGCCGAAATGTATTTTGGGGCACCTGATCAACAAATGTGCGCACTTTTCGTTATAGATTGGTCATCCTGGACGACCATTTCTGGGAAAAGTTAATTATAGAAACAACTAGAAGTGAAAGAAAATAGTTGTAACAAAATCATCCAAAGAAGGGTAGCCGGTCAGATCCAGCCCCAGAAGTGCATTTTTGAAGAGAAGGTTCCGGAGAAGGTTCCGGGAGGCTTTGGTGCAGAGCCAGGTCAGGTTCAACGGGGTTCCGGAGAAGGTTCCGGAGAAGGTCTGGGGAGGCTTTGGTGCAGAGCCAGGTCAGGTTCAATAGAATTTGCGGCCATTTAATTCACGGAAACCCGGCTGAGGTGTTTCCAGCGCCTGGCTTCGCAGCACCCTTCAGAAAGATGTGTAAAAATAAAACGTTGCGGCTGTTGGGGATACCACCGAAGCTTATTCACCCCGCTTCGTGTGGGGTGGCCGCCCACACCGCAGGTTTATTTCGGTCCGTGAGAGGGGCTAAGGGTGGTTTTCCCCCGTGGGGGCTCCCCAAGCTAAGAATTTTCACTTTCCCCCCCGGGGGCTCCCCAAGGTAGGGAATTTTCACTTTTCCCCCCCATGGGGGCTCCCCAAGCTAGGGAATTTTCACTTTTCCCCCCCGTGGGGGCTCCCCAAGCTAGGGAATTTTCACTTTTCCCCCCCCGTGGGGGCTCCCCAAGCTAGGGAATTTTCACTTTTCCCCCCCGTGGGGGCTCCCCTAGGGAATTTTCACTTTTCCCCCCCGTGGGGGCTCCCCAAGCTAGGGAATTTTCACTTTTCCCCCCCGTGGGGGCTAAGCTAGGGAATTTTCACTTTTCCCCCCCGCTAGGGGGCTCCCCAAGCTAGGGAATTTTCACTTTTCCCCCCCGTGGGGGCTTCCCAAGCTAGGGAATTTTCACTTTTCCCCCCCGTGGGGGCTTCCCAAGCTAGGGAATTTTCACTTTTCCCCGCCGTGACAGCTTCCCAAGCTATGGAATTTTCACTTTTCCTTCCCTTGGAGGCTCTCCAAGCTGCGTAATTTCAAATAGCTAGACAACGACGCCTAGATAGTCCCCCAAATCCGGTGTTCTTTGAATGTGTTTCCATGTTTTTGCAATGGTTTCCTTCAAAGCACGGTACTTTACACTTTTGTCGCCATAAAACCGGTCGAAAACATCATGTTCGACAATGCTTCCAATTCCCTTATCTCCCCAACCGTTGAAAATACCGCTATTTACAGTGTTTTCTTCAATTTTTCCATGTGCCAATGCCGGTAGCCAACTCCAACATATATAAGAAATCCTTCCAAAACATTGTTTTTGACAGTGTTTTTCCAATGTTTCCAGTCAATCAGACGGTATTTTACACGTTTTTTGCCATAAAGGCAGTAAATCCTTCCAAAACATCTTTTTGACAGTGTTTTTGTAATGTTTCCAGTCAAGCATACGGTAATTTACACGTTTTTTGCTATAACGTCAGTCCAAAACACTTGTTTTTGCAGTGTTTTCAATGCTCTGGCATCCAAAAACCCTGCAAAATCTTGCTATGTACAATGTTTTTTTCATTTTTGGCCGTTTTTCCATTGCCGGAAAGCTACCAAAATGACCCAAAATTCCATTTCAATACCCTCTTGCGCTCAGACACCCAAAAATCCTCGAAAAATGTCGAAAACACCACCGTATTCTGGTCTCGGTGCGAAACCGTTTTTGGGGTCTGGTCTCGGTGCGAAACCGTTTTTGCCCCCCCCCCAGCTAAAGCTGATATAGCGACTGCTATATTAACAAATGTGATTGAGCATTTAGTGTAGCTGTTTCCCCCCAATAAGCACGCCTTCACCGCCAAAGCGGTGTGGGCGGATTTTTTTTTCCATAATTCTGTCGGTTTCTGTAACCCTTAAATCGGGCATCAGTGCCCACAACGTCAAGGGTCTTGAGACTTTCTGTTTTCCGAGAAATCTTTGGGGTTTGAAGGCGGCGCATTCGGTCCTCTGAAATTGGTCTGAAAAGAGACCAGCTCTCAAGGGACTTGCGATTTAGAAGCTGAAACAAGAGAAGGATGATGACCAAATTGACACGTAAAGCCTCGAAACCATAATCCAAAGGTTTCAAATCATTTGGATTTTCACGAAACTTTATTCGCGAAGAATGGCAAGGAATTTTGATCAACCATCATAAAATACGTATATCTATATATATATATACATATGTATATGTATATGTATATGTATATGTATATGTACAAATAGATAGATATATATACATGTATATATATATATACATATTTATATCTATGTATATATACATATGTATATATATACATATACGTAAATATTTGAATATGTATATATATATGTATATGTGTATAAATAAATACGTATATATATATACATATTCAAATATTTACGTATATGTATATATGTATATATATATATGTGTATATATATATGTATATATATATATATGTATATATATATGTAATTATATATACATATATATATAGACATGTATATATGTATATATACATATTTACATATATATTTACACATATATTTACATATATAGATATATATATATATATTTATACATACACACATATATATATACATATATTTACATACATATACAGTATATATATATACATACATATATCATACATATATATATGTATATATATATATATACATGTACATATATATATATATACATATTTACATATATACACACATATATATACACATATATATACATATATATATACATATATATACATATATATACATATACATATATATACATATACATATATATACATATACATATATATATATACATATACATACATATATATATACACATATATATACATACGTATATATATATATTTATACATATATATATACATATATATGTATACACACATATATATATATATACATATATGTATATATATGTATATATATGTACGTATGTGTATACATATATATATATACATACATATAGATATATACATACATATATATATATACATATATACATACATATATCACACACACATATATATATGTATATATATATATGTTTACATATATATGTATATATTTTCATATATATATATATATTTACATATATATATATTTACATATGTATATATGCACATTTGTTCATAAACCTGAATACTCTTGTGGGCCATGCTCTGAGTGCCTCCAGCATTCTTTGGAGTTGAGAGGAGACGCAGCTTTACAGTCAAGAGAGCGATGTTGAAGGCATTGATGTGGACCTGACCCCCGAGGTAGGAGTTCAACCATCAGCGAGAGCCAGCGAGAGCCAACGCACGTTTTCGCGCAGATCTTCACGCTATTTTACACGCAGCGAGTCATACAATGAGAGTGATTCATATGATTTACGCACCAAGGTGCGGAGACGGCTTCACAAATATCTCTTTGCAAGGCCAGGAAACTTCTCAGAGACAGAGATAGATTTGGTCTCCGACAGGCAACTTTGCGCTGAGGAAATCTTGCAGGAGGGCTGGGATGTGGATGAACTCACAGAAGTACTCCAGCAGATGCCGGTGACAGGGCGTGAAGTGTGGCTGGACTGTTTACTCCTTGCACTGGAAGAACGGTATGAGGACTCGGAGTCTTCAATTGTTGAAGTCCTCCGCACAAGTGGCTTGAAGGATGCCTCCGAAAAGATGCTGAAAGGTAGACTGAAAGGTCACACTCGAGACAAATTGCTGAAATTTTATGAGCGCTTGGACAAGGTTCTCCAAATCCTGGAGAATAAAGCAAGCACACACTACTTTCAGTATTTGGAGCGTGAGAGTGAGCAGCGCCAGGATTTGATTGAGAAGCAGAACGAAGTTCTCCACGACTATGTGTGCGAGCTGGAGCATGAGTTCTGTGAACTCAGTGGTGCCATAAGCAGCTACCAAACCAAGAAGGATATGATGCTTGCAAAATTTTCAGGTGTTCTAGATCCTGAGTACTCGCAGCTTGAACAGACAAGCAAACACAGTTGAGAAAACCGTACAGTGACACTCAGTAGTTGATCAGGTTTGGTATCAGGTGTATCAAAAAGCAAACTGGGCTTGGGAAGCTGTACAGAACAGACAGTTGCAATCCAAAGCCCAGAGTCCACTTGACAGGCAGATTCAGCAGGTCGACTGTCGACTCCAATTCGACTCCCTGCGCTCCCTTTTGATGGCTGGTGCTATTTTTCCGAAGATAGCACCGGTTTTTGCTCCATGCAGCAGTTACACCGCTGCCAGCAGCAAATTTTGCACCAATCTTTGCACAGGCCACAGTGGCAATTTTGAAGTGTTGTGAAGCTGCCCTGTCAATGTATCAGCACAATTTGTATACGAGGTCCTCTTAGAGGTTCGAAGACCTCACTCTCAATTTGGCAGGGTTCATGTGGAAGGACTTTGAGGAATGTTTCCAACGTGTTTCCAAAGCCCAACCCAACCAACTGGGAGAAATTTGCAACTTGCTTGCTGGTGAATACCTGTTCAGAAAGTAGTGGTTGATGCATTTGCACTAAAGATGAACATGAACCCTTTGGTGGGCCATAGGCCCTGACTTGATTTCAACCAAGTTGACAAGCTAGGTTCAATGATGCATCGCCAAACTCTCGACATGAAAAGGATCTGTGAGCAGCTCTGATCCAGATTTGAATGCAAAGAAAGGATTCCACGAAGTTAAACCTTAAGTTTCAGAAGTATCAGGATCAGAATTTCTGAGCTATTTTCCTAGTATTTGATTATTGAGCTGGGTTGTCATGTCATACAGAACAAGTGGCACCAGCTCACGAGCTACGTTTATTTTTCATCCATACAGATTTCTTCAACTAGTTCCACCACCAACATTCAACCTCGCATGGGTGATGCATAGTGACAAGGGCGTCAAAACAAGGGGACTTCGCAACCAAGTTTGCTGAGATCATTTCCTTCTGGAAATTCATTCTAAAGATGCTACACCTGACAGCTTTTCTGGTTTTGAGTGGCTTGCCCTTCCAGGTTTGCACACTGCCACAAGGATGGTACCTGTGTAGGGTGCCAAGCATGCTTTCAATCTCAACTACTACCATGTGCACCAACTTGTCATTGTCGTAACATGCTGAGTGTACACGTAGACATCTGCCTGAAGATTTGATTCCATGGCAGCACAGATGCTGGGATTTGGTGGGCCTGACAGTCCTGGAATAGTATCCTGAGAGCAAGCGTCTTTTTACTTTCGCATTTCAGAAGGTGCTGTCGATTTGGGACATTGTCATTATTGTTCATTGTCTGTGTTTGATGATAGCTGCGCTTTGCACATTGTGCCAACGTCAGTTCATTGGACGGTAGCCACAGCAAGAGAGCCAAGGTTTTGACCGGATGTCTTCTTTTCTTCCTGTCATTGGCAGTGTGCTCTCTCTTTGGATGGGCCTGTGGGCACCTTACATTTCCCTACATTTGGATATGAGTGTGCCGTTCGTGAGCAATTCGACGATCAAAGGGTCAACTTGTAGCATTTGCAATCACACAATGCTTTCACTATATTATATATTATATAGACCCACTATAGATCAATCTTTATCATTCCATAGGTGTCACAAATATATGTATTATGTGATATTATTGATATTATATATATATACGATACGACGATAGTATAGTATGTAGTATTGGATATTCACATGCGACGCAGATGCCGAGGCCAGGATTGGATCACCGATCCGAGCCGGAACCCGTTTGCAAGGACCGCATTGTGAAGATCGGAATCCTGGGATCCTGGATGTGCATCAAAATGACTCGAATTAAATGAAATGATACTAAAGTCATATATATATATATAACTATAAAGTTACTAAAGTTACTAAAGTTACTAAAGTTACTAAAGTTACTAAAGCTACTAAATATCAAAGTATTCACCCTCTTGCCATGTTTCTTCCAACTCTAAGTCCCGGGTTTCTCTGCAGGAAGTTCTCCTTCTCCATAATGGTGGATGCTGCCACATGGATTCCAATTTCGGTGTCAGTGGGAAAGCCTGGTGCTCAGAATCTGCCTGCGGGATCAGACACACAGCTTCCATTCACTGTCGCACATAAATTTTCTTTCAACTTAAGCGGATTCTCCCAGAATCCTAAGGCCTAAGACCTTACCACTGCAGTAGTATGTTATTCCATAACAACTTGTGGCGCAAGGTTGTAATTTGTGCATGCTTTGCTTAAGATCAGTCTGCTTGGTTTCGCCTTGCAATCGTGTACTGTCCAAACTCTTCAAAGGGCGTGAGGGAACACTGCTGAAATTCTCGACTTCAATGCATTCCTCCTGAGGACTAATGCGTTGGTTGAATGGCATGATCCCAAGTTGCACTGTGATCCACCGTCCAATTCATGGATATTCATGGATCACCAAAAGGGTCCAAATAGGTCTGTTTGGACATTCCACTTGATAGTTGTGGTTTTCCATCGTCGGTTCACACGGAGACAAAGACGCAGCTGTTTCACTTGACACTTTCCCGGGAGATGAAAGCCAGAAGGAATGTTTCCGAAACGTTTTCATGCCTCAAATTGCAAGAATTTTGATTCGTGGACTTCGTGGACTCGGTATGGGCTGGCACTGGGAGCATTGTTCTGCTGAGCAGCCGAGGTTCATGGATGTTGGGAAAGACAATCTTGCCCAGGCCTGACTATTTCCAATGCATCATGTGTTCAAATTGTCCAAAGTAGACTCAGACAGGCAACTTTTTCCAACAGTTTCTTTCAATTCGTAACGACCTCAATCCCTCTTCACCACCCTAGATAGCAGAGACGCATGTACGGGGCCATCCTATGCAGATGCTGCCAGCACCACTCCTACGCTTGAGCGATTGGCGGGTGCATCCGGGTTGTTGCCGGTTGCGGGTGACCAAAAACATTTTGGGAAGCAAAGCACCATCTTTCTAGCAGAAGTGTGGACTATTTTTTTTTTGAATGAGAGCGGCCAGATTCAATTCCTGCACATGTTGAGTTGAGTACGCGGGTTTGACGTCACACAACATCTTGTGTGTTTGTTGAGGAGTCTTCATGTAACAAGCAGAAGACGCGCGGAACGCTCTACTAATATTTAAACTGCCTTCTGCAGATTTCAAAGTGAACGCTAGAGGATCCTTGATGACATTGCTTTCTCAGAAGGACTTCAAAGTGACACCAAAAGTGAATATTCGGAAAAGATCTTATGGTAAGCTCCCCGAAAAGACCCCCAAAGAACAAAGCTCGACGATGCTGGTGCCTCCAAGTTCTATTTCTGATGACGAAATTAAATATCCTCCCCCGGCAGCTGTTGCTTAATCCTGACACGCTTGTTACTTGCGTTGTCTTGCCAGACGTTGGTTTCTTCTTGCCTCGCAGCTTTGTCTGTAGCCCAGCATTTGGTGTGCGGTCATTTGAATGGAAACCGAGAGCAAAGGACCCCTGATGGGCAGTGGACCATTTTATTCTCGATGCAACCAGGTGTGGGATGTGTAGGGCGCATTTTTTGGAAGGAGTATGCACATGCATATTTTCTCAATTATCTGACATGTGCATGCAATCCTACAAAGCTAAATATTATCATATTAAAGTCACTAGAGACCACTGCAGCATTAGTACAGCGATATCTTCAAGTAGCAAACCGGAAGTGTGAGGCTGACGTTCAGCTGCGCCGTCATGACTCATTTGGTGTGGATGCCCGTTGATGTTGCCTCCCTGAGTAATTACTTGGAATTTCCATTTACTATCGGATTTTTTGACTGTTGCTGGCATATTTTGTCATTAAGTCATAGACATAGATCGTTGATTTGTTTAAAACAGTTGTTGTATCCCTCTATTGTTTCCATGAGAAGAGTGACGACGTCGAGACAATGTCACCGGCCCCTGAAAAGGTCTTGGGTGCACAAGAAGCTCCCCGTAAACAGCACAATGTTTTCGTCATTTTGCAAAGATAGACCTGACCAGCTGCAGCTGACGAGTCAGGATGATGGTCACGTTGATCTCAATGCCTAGGCCATGAAGTACTGTAGAGGGGTGGCGGACACCAAAGGACAAGGCCAGCGCCTGAAGTGTGGTGTGTGCTGTTTTTTTTCTTTTCCGAGCACATAGCAATTGCTAGCTTGCGCTGCCAGTCTGTGGTCAACAGCACCATGCTGCAGTGAAAAAGCACAAGTTGGATGGTGCGTTGTTTGATTGTTTTTCTTGCTTGATACACTATCCTACAACCTACAACCTATATGAATCTATATGACATATACATTGTACGCATCTACAATATATAGAAATATTTGTGGAACATCATCATACATCAACCATCAACCTATGGAGATTTTTAATTTTGTATTGTATTATATTGGATTTTCTTGAAATCGTGTTAACACATTTTTCGACTGGGCAAGCATCCGAGGCCTACGTGGCTTCCTGCGTTTTTTCCTTTTAGCGACCATCACATGCCTCGGTTGGGCCGTGGCTTGGAGTAACTGGGAGCTGGTGTTGTCCCTCATGGACGCGTCCGGGCACCTGGCACCGCGGGCACGGGCACGACCGCGGTTGATGGAAATCCTGGGCTCTCAATGGTTGCAGTTCAGTCTAGACAAGTCTTCGTTCTGTTGATCAATTTTTGGTCCAAACCTGAACCAAATAACAGATTAGATGAACTTCAGCAAGATCTGAGTGAATAAACTGCGACCACCATTTAATACTAGTAGTTGCATCAAGTTGCTTCCGGACTTCCAAGCTGATGTTTTGCGCGAGTTCATCGATCGAGCAACCCGTGCCACACACACACAAACACACACTGAAGGCTGGAGCCAGATCATCCAGATCATGACTTGACACTGGTGCGGGTGGTGATTGCAGTTTGTTTGGTCAGAATCCAAGATGCAGTGCGTTTGTTGGCAATATACTGCCTTTCTTCATTTCGTCGCCATGCAATGCTCAATGCCAGTGTTTTCCTCCTACAGCTGGCCTTTCCCTTCTCAAAGAAATCGGAATTGCTTCCTTTGTTGTTTGCGCATCCTGATCTAAACAGGCAAATATGTGCCTGTACAACTCTGTCAATTTCGGTCTCAGTGGGGAGAAAAATCAGGCTTTTCTCAACCATTCTTCCATCAAAATCATTAGAAGCAAGGCGTACATACATGAGATACCAATCATACAATCATACCGAATCATACCCTCTCACAACCTTCACCTTTTCACCTTGCCTTTCTTGCGAAGGGTCTGTGTTCAGCTACAAGTGACCTGAGCAACGGCCAGCATCCAAGGTCTTGAGCATTTGCTTCTACCTGAGGCAACTCTTGGGGTTGGAATTGTTTGGTGTATTGTTTGGTGTACAGTATAAATTTCTGGCATTTCTGGGGCATCTGCAGGATTTGGCCAAATATTTGTTGAGGGAGCATAGTACCCCAGCAGTGAGCCCATATCAATAGCTTTCTTGACCAACCTTTGCATGTCCACAGGTTGTACCGACACATGCCCGAATCGCAGGTGAACTATATTTGCTGCAACAGTTTTAATTTCAAACTATTTTTTTTCGATTTTTACTGGATTTTCTTTGTCCTTTTTACTTTTTACTCTTCTATCTTTCAGGATATCTTATTCAATCTATTCTGGTTCCAAGCAAAGACTTTCATGGATCCTGGGATGCAGATCAATGCTAATCCTCTCCGACTCGTGAATCGTGGAATTGTTGAATCGCTGGGGAAGGTTTGGGCCTGAGCCCATCATCCCGGATCCTCAACTTCAGCATCTCTGCTACAGCCATGGTCAAGACCTTAGCATCCTTAGCCCAACATGTGAGCTCAGCCGAACATAGCCTTTACAGTGGCTGTAGACTCTGTAGGCTTTTGAGACTCACAGCGATCATTTTGAGATGCAGATTTCGAGGCTACAGCAGCTCTGTGCAGCGAGCTTTTGTGTCTTACATCGTGAAGACCTTAGAATCTGGTGATTTTCATTGATTTTGTGAGGGTTTGGGTTGGAAACCGCAAAACCGCTTTGCGAACTAGTCCTTGTTAAAGATGCGCAACATAATAAGAAGGCCGGAGCACAAAAGGCAGATATGCACAGCACGGTGTCGCAAGCTTTTCAGGAGGTGTAAAGACGGAATGATTTTCATCAAACAAAATCGCTTCAAGAACAGAAGGGCCAAGGGCCGTTCTTTCAGAATCTCCGTGCTTCCCGCTGAAGTCGATTGAGGTCTACTCCTGCGTCGTTTGCATGGTGATGGTATGCCCTGGCCTCACTTTGCAACGAAACATGGCAAGTAGACTCAAGAAGAAGCGACAAGCCATGACGATTCAAGAGTGACACCAGACAAAACTCTACATGTTGAATTCAAACGCAAGTTGCGCAAGTCAGCGGGATCAGCTGTTGACTCTGAAATCCTATTTACTGCTGTTTTAGTATGTTCCAGGCTGTGATCCCACCTATGGCTTGCTCATTGCGTTAGCCAGCTGGGTCGGATACCTTGACAAGAAGACTCTTGCTTGTATCTTCAAGAGGTTTGAACGTGAGATCCGAAAGGTGAAAGAACTGTTCCATCAACAGCAGGGCGCACCCGAAAAAGGAGTATGTTCATCGCAATCCCACGTACGGGTACTTATACCATCTTATACTTATGTTGCCAAAGGACTCACCTCTTTGTCAAGCACCTACTGCATAGAGAAAGGTATTCTGTTTGCAGAATCCATTTTGTCAGCATAGATCGATATTCAGCTGCATACTGTCATGGGAGCCGGCAGCACACAAAGAACCGAGTTTCGTCACATGGCACCATGGCGGTGAAACTTGAGGTCTATTCTGCGACGTCATCTATGTTTGATGTGCAGGCTCTGTTTCCTTTTCATCAGATATCTCTCCAGGGCACAGCCTGAACTTTTTCATTCGATTAAGTGAAATACATTGGCATTTTCTTGAAAACAAACAAAGCAGATTCACCATTCGTGGCGTGAGAATGCCATCCAAACCTCAGGATCCAAATAGGGGAGAAGTGCAGTAGGTCAAACCCAACAATAGTAAAACAATTTGCAGTGTTTGACGCATTTCTGAATTCAACTAACCAACATCAACCAACATTTTTCATCATAGAGACGACGATCATGCAAAAAGGCACCCCAACAACAGTCAAGAAAAAATGCCCCCCAACTCAGGTTTGCCTTCAAAATACGCAAATGCATGCAACGAAAAATCAACAAAACAATCCAGATGCAAGGGCGAGTTTGGTCAAATTGAAGAAAAACAACCTCCTATATAATACAATATATACATATATAAGTAGAAATAGTATGAAATAGTATGAAAATGTATGAAATAGTATGAAATAGTAACATCTTGTGCATAAGGTTAGGGTAAGTGAGATTGCAAGCGTGGCCTGTTTGCCTATATTCCAGCACAGTTGTCCTCTTTTTTTTTGCAGGCGCTCCTAGTGCTTTGTGGCCTTGCAATGCTTGTGACGCTGCTCAGTGCATTGCATGCGACTCAGTTGGGTAGAGACGTGCCCCTGGAGATAAGAAATGGGTTTCAATCCAGAGGTTTCCATAGTCATGGGGGTACCCCAAAATGGATGGTTCAGAATGGACAATCCCAAAATGGATGACATACCGAAGTACCTCTGACACGCAGCAGTCAAAGCTTGAGTGGTGACCCATGGTCGAAGAAAACAGCAACAGTTTAAGCTTTCAGACCCCTAACAAAGTATAACAAAGTGCACTTGCTTGTCTCTACTTGTGGAAGGATGCTCATGGTGGAAGGATGCTCATGGTGTTCACCTTCCTCAGGCTTTCACATTTCACCATCAAAAGCCTTTGTGAATCCTGAGATAATTTGGAAGACATGAAACATTGATCAGATTCGAGCCAGTCTTGGCAGACACTTCACCATAGCATCTGAGACTGGAACCCCAGTAGCCCACTTCACATCTGACTTACTGTGAAAATCTGTGAAAGCGCTTCTAATTTTTGCATGGCTAAGGTGCTCTGCAGGCATCACTTGGGCCTTTGAGGCAGGATTTGAAGGTTGGCGTAAGCTTAGCATCGCTTGGATTTCGTCAGCTGCCAGGTAGATGCACTCACTTCTATGCGTCTCTCGCGCTCAGTGAACGATGCATGTGCAAAAATGGTGGATCGCAGGTGCCATCAGATGAGTGGGCGCTGACCATTTCGATGACAATTGGATGACCTCAAAGCACTTGTCAGAATGACAGTTGTCTTCTGTTCTTTGATGGACATTTGCATCACCTGATCTGTAATTTCTACCCACCATCTCTTTGGCTTGAGATCAAAGACAATGCAGTGAGAGACAACCAGCTCTTTCACTATTTTGCGTTTTTCTTGCCATCTTCAAGTTGGAACAACTGGCAACTAACAAAAGATCGACCCACACAGCAAGAGGGATGTAGTCATCCCAAGATTTAACTTAACCAAAGCAATACGACAGGAATGACGTATCTACCTCCCAAACATGTTTTTTTTTGTGTTGGATAAAGCTATCTGCAGTGCAGGCGATCGCAGTTTGGCGAGATGTTGTCACAAGTACAGAAGGCGCTGCATATTCCGTGAGTCACAAACTGCTGGAGCTGTGTTTTGTCGCTCCTCATCAACAGAGTCAACGTATCAGTCACTTTTCACTCTAGTAGAGGGCACCGGACGCAGGCTGGCAGCGACGCTTGCTTGATGGAGGCCGAGCTGGAGGACAAGGGTTGCCGCTGCACCTGTAAAAAGTTGGGAAATGAAAAGAAGGCGATTGATCGCACTACAGGAAGTACACAATATGGTTTCGAAATGCACTCAACTGAGCGGACTACCTGTGAGGAAGTGAAGGATGCCTGGCTCCCGGCGTGCCGAACGGGGAAGTCTTTGTAGTGCGTGTGCCATCTAGGGTCTTATTCTGGTTGTGCAATTCACCCGCCACAAGCCACACTCTTGTCTGGCTTGACAGGATTTCCTCTCCGGTGTACTACCGAAGTCTTTTTCCCATTTTTTCCCTATTTCATTGCATACATTGGCTTGGGCCAGGATTGAGGGGTCGTAGGCAGACCCTACTTGTGGAGAAATGGCACTCAGGCTCATGCTGGTCCGCATTGTCTCTATGCGTCGATGTCCAATGAGGCCTACAGTGTGATGCAAAGGAAACGAATGTCTGCTATTTTAGGCACTGCACTTCACATAGCAAATGATCTGTCCAGCATGGGCAAAATGAAACATAAGCCAGTTCAGTCACCATTTTCAGCCGAAAGGGACAGCATCGATTTCAAAGTACAGCCTCAGATTTGCCAGGAAGCGCTTTCCGAAGTGGAGTCGGAACGGCAGCGAGGGAACCCAGGCTACAAGACTGAGTGGTTGTGAGTATGCTTCAGGTTTCAGTGATTTCAAAGGTGCTTTACCCGAATTTAAAGTTTGGCCATTGCCGCATTGGCAGAGAGAACTTGGCAGTATGGCCATTGCCACATTTTGAATGTAAGCCGGAGCATTGTTTGCAACTTATGTCACACCTTTTCAACTCCAAAGTTTGCATGGACAAGTTTGCCATGAAACCGCTGTCAGGTTTTCAAGATCAGAGTCATGATATAGGCTAGAGGTTTCCATAACTGGTACCCCAAAATGGATGATTAACCATTGATTAACCATGGAAAATCCATGATTAACCATGGAAAATCCATGGAAAATCCATGGAAAATCCACCCAACCAATGGATGATTTGGGGCTACCCCCCATTTATTTTGAAACGCCGGAGCCTTCGCAGCTCTGAGGCTGCGACTGAACCCTGGCTCCATCTCCAGCACCATTTGCGTGCCTGGAAAGCCCAGCGGGAAAAACCACCCGAAACAAAGCTGCGAAACAAAACTTGTTCCGCAGCCAGAAATGCTTAGCTTCAATATCCTCGGCAATCTGATTTTGCAATCTGATTTTTTTCGGTCATGCAGCTTCAGATCTCCATCTCTCCATCTCAGATGGCAGTCAGCATAGTAAATGTGGCTTGATATCTGACCGCAGAAAAGTCAAGGGCGGTGGCTGCTAAGACCCCTTCAACTTGGAGTGCATTTGAGGTCTGTGCTGGTTTACGACGTCTTGGGTTTTGTGGTGTGCTTCCAGTGGGGTGCGCCTGCGGGATGATGTATGTTCTTGGATCTTGAAACACAAGACTCTCTTGGAAGCTTGATGCATCATTAAGCCTTGATATCTTGGCACCGTGACTGCTTTGCGCGTAGGTATGTTGGTGGTCCGTGGCTATTCCGTGCTCTTTGGCCGAGTTGCCGCAAAGTCACTGGCTCAATTCTGCGCTCAGCCAAGTTTGGCTGTTTAGAAAAGCGTTCCAATATATATGTATATATATATACATATATATGAGTTATATAAGAGTCCAGACACCAAACTCCAAGATAGCAGTGAACAATCAAGCATCCGGGAAAAGAAAGGTTCCAATAGATATACGGACACTTTGGCCCCCTCGACTTTCGGATTGACTTTGTAATTGGGCAAGGCTTCTCACAAGTGCTTTTTTGGAGCACTATAGCAGAGGCACACCGCTTTCTACATTGGCTCTTGCCTCATCTATGCATCAGTCGGGTGCTTATGACTGGAACGGAGAAGGGCAAGGTGACTCTGTAACTGACAGTCTCAGAAGCTTTAGCACTTCGTCCTAAGGGCGTGGTAGTTGCGATAAGCCGCCGGGAGTCTCAAGCAGTCCACAATTCAGGATTCATAATGGCCATAGTGCTGTATGTGATGTACGAGGACATGTCATGAATGTACTTCTTTGAGGGCAAATCCTGAACCTTTCAAAATAGACTTGTTAGCAACTTGGTTGGTTCCTCTTATGGATATTGGCTAGCAGCCCCAAAAACGCACACCCTCAGAATTTTTCCTGGGATGGCGCCACACGGTCATACTGTGCTAGGTCCCTGAAAGGATGGTCCGACATCTCTGTGTGTAGTACATTGTGGCAAAGTCTAATTTAAAGCAGAGCCTACCATCTACAGAGCCTACCATCTCCTCAAAGCTCTCCAAGTTGTGATCCCATTTTTTTTTTTCTGCCAAGGCCTTGTTTTTTGCTTCTTCCCTTCGGCTGAAGAACGCTTGATTGCAGAGGCCAGCCCAGTGCCGAGTGCATTTTCAGGTTGAAGAATGCTTAGTTTCAGCATGTTTTAGTGACTGGTGGGATTCTGCAGTACATCCCGTTGGTGCGGCTCCGTCTCCGGCACTGCATGCCTGGCACTGCCTGCTTCGCTGCCATTTGGCAAGGCTTCGATGCAAGAGACATCTTGCGCCAGGCGCTATCCTCGAGTGGAACTCCTCCAGTCTAGCTCGATTCAATTAATTCCACAGCAGAACGGCGATCCCACCCCACCACACAATAGATCCCAGAAATTCCCAGAACATGTTGGAAAATTAGAGACATTACAGGAGGACGTAAGGGTCAAGAAACATCAAGAAACTGTGTTGATGGCGTCTCCGATTCTTAGACGCAGGCTAGCTGAGCTTTGGAGAGGCACCCCGCCAAGCTCAGCGGATGAGTCATCCCAGGTCCAGGTGGGTTCCACTATGAAAACAAACGAACGAACAATGTGGAAATGCAGGGGATGGGGAGGCTTCATGGCTTTCACTTGCTTGAAATATCTTGGAATCGAATATGCTAAGTTTGCCTTTCTCTTTGCATCTCATTGCTTGGAAACTAAGTGACACAGTGCAGTTTTCAGATTTTGCCTTTGATTTGAATGATGCACCAGAAGATGCTGGTGAATGCAGCCAGCAAGGAACTATGCCAAACTCTGACTCCAACGACTGACGCTTGAAGTGTCCTTTTGGAATAGCCCTGCTGAGCAGGATAGCCTTAATGTCTGCCCATCTGCAGTGATGGCAAACTGTGTTGCTATGCAAAACGCTTTCCGTTTGTACAAATCCTCAGCCAAGGAGAGAGGCTGTGAGATGGTCACTTGGACCATCAGCTTTGCTCCTGCTCTGGGTCAGCGTAGAAAGAATCTCCAATCATGAGATATCATGAACACCATTAGACACCATTCGAAGAGCTTGAAGTTGCCTGAAGAATTGTCGTAACTGGAAATCTATTCAACTCGTTTGCAACCCATCCCCGGTGTTCTGCTTCTTCTTCTTCATTTTCATGATCTTTTCAGAGGTCCAGATGGCTTTTGGATACTTAGAAAGCTGATGTCAGAGTTTCTGCCATGACCTAGCAGCTGGAAAGACCAATACGTTTCACCTTATGACAATTAGTTGCAGGTGGCACAGCGCAACATTGCAAGCTTCAAAAGCTTGCAATGTGGAGCCGAGTTCGAGGTGGGCCACCATGCACATAGACGCGGTTTACCAGAAACTACAGGAGCTGCGAAAAAATGGATGTGTCGCATTAGTTGTTGCAGCTTGCATGCTCATTCACGACCTCCAACCATGTCTGAGATATCCTTTTTCATAGTAGGACTGGATTCTTGCAACCATCATGAGTGACAAGCAGGGTTCTGGAAGTTGCTCAGTTCTGGGAGTCCTGTTGGTTGCAAAGTCCTGTCAGTTCCTCAGACAAACGACGTGGATCTCATCAGTGGCAATCCATCTCTTGTTTATTTCGGGTGCTTGGCAGAGTGCTTTCTCTTGGGCAGGCAAGCAGACCAAAATAATTGTTTGACCTGATGTCTATTGAAATGAACAACTTCCAATTAAGGGGTGTTCACCGAAATTGGCTTTCCCAGAACCATCAATGATGCCAGATGGGATCAGATCTACACTACTAGTAGTACCACAAAGTGGGAAAATGGAATTGAGGAATGTGTTGAACAGACTGTGTTCAGTTTGAACTGTGAGGACATTATGTTTTCCAGCAGAAGACATTTAAGCATATTTGGGCCACTCTGCCAGCCTACCAAATTCAGGCAGGAATCCGATTTACTACTTGAATCAACTTGAATCTACTATCTCAATTTCTCATAATTTCTCAATGTCTATCTCAATATCATTCGGTATTGACAGTGGACATCGCCAACTTCACGTCGATTTCATGGCTCGAAGCACAAGAAGCAAACATTTGTCCCACATGTTCTGTTGATGATTCAACATAATTTAACAGTACTTTATGAAGAATTGGAAAGAAGATCTCTGAAGTACGTCTAGAAAGTCTTCGTGATTGGAAACGAGTCGCTGGTTTGAGAGCAACGTTCCATATTTCTGTCAGCCTTGGTTTTAAAATAGCCAGTTCTAGCTGGACTACTGAAAGCAAGAGGCCTGCGCTTTGAGCGCTGATTTGCGAGGCCCTGTTATCGTGGTGTCATCAGATACAGTCCTTTGTCCAAAAAGTTTGCACAAGCATGCGCAAGCAATCTTTAGTTTTGGACAGTCTTTGACTTGTATCTAAAATTGGATTGTCGTTCTTGCTGGCTTCGTCTTGCAGGCTTGACAGCATGTCCCTGCCTCAGAATGTGGACAACGACTGACGACGTCAGTCCAGAGTGCGAATTCGTGGGTGGTTTGATATGATGACAACAGGGCCTTGTTGAAAAGCATGATATTATATGGGTATGGATCAATACCTATTAATACCATTTTTAGTGGGATGAACATCCATTTACCAGCTATTTTGATGTGAACTACAGGGGTACAAGGTTTTGACACACTGCCATATCAGTGATATTGTTTGCCAATTTTGTCAGCTTCCTGACTCGCACCTCTCTAGACCCTCTGATCCAGCCAATCATCAGCCGTCAGTACATCATGACATATGTGGAGCAACTCAAAGGGCGGGATAGAAACAGATCAAAAGTGCGGTATACTTTTCAGAATCATTTATCAAGTGCACAACAGCAGCAGACTTTAACGCACAAGACAGCTCTTCCATTTGTGTAGTTGAGAAATGTTGAGAAATGTTGAGAATCAGCAAGGAAGCAGCTTTGCGCAGCAACCCCCTCAACAAGGAATGTTAGCCCAGCTTGTCCAGCGCAGAACTCCGAGGTCCTACACTACGATGGATAAGTATGGAGATGTGAAGCATATCTATGCACCACAGAAAGCGAACCAGCCGCAGCCTCGTTCGCGGAGCTGTGTGATAGCTGTGTGATAATCTCGTGGCATTACCAGGATGGTTGTTGCAGTGGGCCTGGACCGTTCTGGACCAAGGTACGTGAAAGGCATCTGGTGGCCAGACTATGGTATTTGACTCATTTGACGGTGAAATCGGTGAACGATCCCGGAATGTGTGCAGTACGTGCTCGAAGTTGCGCATGAAACACCAAGCTTTCCTTATTCTCGGGAAATATTGCCACATTGACACATCCACATTCTAAAAATGCATGCATCTATCACAACAACTGAGTGTTGGCCATGACAGACTTGGTGGTTGATACAGTTGGTGGAACATGTCTCTTGTGTCAGGTCCGATGACGATTGACTTTTGCGATCAGCACGGGGCCAAGGATGTCTATGATATTGGTTTGGGCTGTGACTTCCCTCTTTTGTTCTGGCTGCATATTGCTAGAGTATAATTGCTAGGAAAGTGAAGAGTATCCATCGGCGGGAGTTTTACCAAGTGTGTACTGCATGGCTAACTTCCCATTCAGACGTACTGGTATATAGCAAGATGCATCCCAGATTGCACCAAACTAGAGACTGCGGACATGTTTTGCCTAGGAACAAGATGCACCCCACAAACACCATCTTCGAAAATCAAATTGCCAAAAAGACTCCGCTGCGGCGTGATTTGCTGAGGGCTCAGCCTTCATTGCCTGCTCAGTGTCATGTTCAATTCAGGTACAGTGTCAATCAGCTGGATATGCTAAGCCGTAGCCTATGTTTTCTTTGTAGGAGGATTGAATTGCAGCTTATCATGTGCTCGCAATCTTGATATTATTAAAACATACTATTCATATTATAGAATTATACATATTAAATTATACTGTTCCTTTTGACATGATTCAAGTGAGGATGCGGTGTTTCCTCAGTGACCATTCCATATCACCAGGGTGGCCAATCCCATGGGTCCTGCTACCCAAATCATGCCGCAGTGCGCAGCCTCAGTGCATTCCTTGTGGGATTTGTGTTGTCCCGTCCAGGATCCCAGGATCCCAACGGCACCGAGAGTCTCAACAGGCTATCAAAGGGTCAGACAATCATTTGCCATGATCTTTGGCAGCTTTTTAAAACCTCCGTTTGTAACCGGATGTTTCCCCAGAGATCATGTTCAGTCCGATTCGAAAGCCATGAGGTTTCGCAGACAGCCACCTACGGAAGCTCTTTGGAGCATGGACCCCTGGATGCGTAGATCTCTGTGTCAGCTTGGCTTAGAGCAGCTTGTTTCTCTGAACAAATCATGGATTGTAAACGTATACAATATACACCTTGGTCAGCAGAAACATGTGGCTATGGACAGCTGTTGCACAAACGGTACTATTTTGAGAGCTGCAAAGACATTAGGCCCTAATCATTAGGCCCTAGAGTATTTCAAGACTTGTTGAGACTTTATAAAGAGCTTTAGGTTGGAAGTATTCCGTTTCAGCCAAGCAGGCATAAAGTGCAAGATGGGAACATCTTCACACTTATAATCGACCCGACTTCAAAAAGCTCAACCTTGGTCCGAGGTTCAACCATTATCCAGCCGTACAAGAGTCTTTGCCTCGGTTGAAATTGTTCTGCAGGAAATTCAAGATCTGGAGAAAAGCAATCTGTGTACAAAGCCCGAAGGTGGCGGGCGAGCAAGGGAGATTTTCGAAGGTGTTTGACACTCAGTTCAACCTGTTTTACAGCGGTGTGCGCAAGTGGTGCAGTGTTCCTGAAGAATATTAGAGACTAAGACTATGTCCGACTATGTCCTCCATGTGTGACTGTCCGGAAAAATTGGTCTGTCGGAGATCTTGCAAGGCTTCTATCACCTCAATTTTGAACACATTCTAGGTCCTAATTCTAGGTCAAATCTGGACTCATGTCCTAGAAAAGCACAAAACTAGTTTCGCAACAGTTCAGGCCTGGCACCGCCGTGCCCATGAGTCGCGACATCGACATGAGGAGGTGAACCATATCGTGTGGCACTACGAAACCATCCCGGCTTCTGCATTGTGATAAGCCATAACAGACGCTTGGGTGCTTGTGCAGGCGCAAGCTGAAAACTTCGCGCAGAGGATGGGATGCGTTCTTGTATATACAGCACTTCTTTGGAGTTCACAAGAACTTCAAAGTCTGCAGACAATTCCACCATTTCTGGCCATTGCCGAACATTGCTCCCCTAGTCATGCCAACTTCTTTGACTACTGGGGACTGATCAGAGATCCTGTTTTTTGTTCTCCGACGTGTCGAATGTCGACTTCGAGCTGGGGAATTGCAGGAGCATGAGGCAACAAGAGTTATCAATGACTTTCAGGCAGGTGCCGTATCATCGTATCCCTCCGCTGCCTGTTTGCCATACCTTGTTCGGCTCGAAGCTGCAGAAAACGCAGTGCGGCAAGTTGGGATGCTGTTCGAGTGTATTGAAAATCATTCAAAGGAAGAGTTCATGCCACAGCCATGACCTTTAACACACTTTCTATTTGCTTGAAATACAGTTGTTTAAATCTGCGGCCTACATACAGTGGCTGCAGCAGCATGATTGGTCACTGATGTTGGCTGATTGGCCTTGTGACTGGGTCTTTCAATGCTGGATGGACGGATGGACGGATGGACAGATGGACTGACGGTCTTATGCCGGTGGGCGCCTTCTGTGTAGGTATCTTGGATGGTTGCTCAAACGTTGGCTGTTCAATTCTTTGTCTGCTTGGTTGTTTGATTGATTGGTTGGTTGGTGCTTAGCACAAAACTAGCTTGTAAAGGACACCTTGCAACCTGACCGAGCCACCAAGAAAGGACTATATTACAGATTGACATAGATTGACTAGATGACTTAGATGACCATAGATGACCTTTAGAGTCTATAGCGGAGTCACAATCTTAGACGAAGGATTCCTCCTGGTGACTTTCGCCAGTCCGCACCGCTCAATGGCAAGATCTCTCTCGCGTCTTCCTTCCGTCGGTTCGGATCCCTAGTTTTCTGCTGATCTGATAGGAAGTAGCCGCTAAGTAGCCTCCTTTCCTTGGCATGCTTTGTAGTTGGGACAAGATCTGTGACCTTGCATGATTGGTGGGTACCTGAGTATGTCTTTCGCCCATGCTACATTTTCTATACATCAAAACATTCAAGATGTTTGTATATCACACTGAATCATCCTCATGCGCTCTGCAGTGGCTCAGGCAGCATAGACGAGGCCCTGGCTCTAGAATTTTGGTGGAAGCAGTTTAGATTCTTTGAACTTCTGAATTTATTAAATGCAATCAGCAGTGAATCACAATTGACATCAGTCTGACATCATGTCAATTGACATGAATGTCTAATAAGTCTAATAATGTCTAATAATGTCTATGCTTTCTTCATCCTTCTTCATACGTAAGAGTACAACGCGGCCTTGCCAGGCGCCTGCATGGGTAGCGGCCAGCACGATATCCAGCCGTCCGCCTGGGGCTTTGCACAGAGCCATTCATTGTACCTGGACCTTCCCCTAAATTTGGCTTGATGTTCTAGTCATTCTAGTCGTTCTGGTCTTGTTTCTTTGATTTTATTTGATTCTAGTATAGAATTTCTATTTGTATAATTAACATGATGGATTGTTCAAGTCTTCCTTTGGCGTGAAGGCGAACCTGCCATCCTCACTTAGACCTGCACAAATGTCTCCCTGCTGAGGTTTGACGCGGCAGGGCTCAACGGCAACGCTCGGGGTCGCCGGGAGACTCATCTTGCGACCAAGGACATGGGCTTCATAAGAAAGTGCGGGTTATGCTGGCGGATGCGGCACCCCGAATTTTGGAGTGATGGGAGGTGAGGACACCTTGAGATTCACATGACAAAAAAAACCAAAGACCAAGCCTGTCCGACTGGTGCGCTAGATCCAGCCTATGAATGCCAAGCGTGAGGTGTGTACAAAGATGGTGCAAGCGAAATAGGACTTGATCCAGAGTTTGGCGCCCGAGCTTTCTGCACTGTGAGGTACCAACATTCTGCATCCTTGAGCTTCCTTTTGATTTCATGTGGCAGAAACAAAAGAGCTAACCAGCAACGCGCTCCACAACCAAAGTCTTGTCGAAGTATCAAGAGCCCAGGTGTTGGTATTTGGGATGAGAACAACATCACATGAAGATTTCAGGTCAATTTTTGTGCTGCACGAAGGTTGAAACGGATTTGCCCTGCGATTTGGGGATTTATGTACACTTTTTCTTTTGTATAGAGTTCTTGCTGTTTCATTGCCGAGATGAGATGCAGTAGAGCAATATTTAAACATATTACAAGAAATTACTGAGTTATTGTGACAACTTCCATCACTTGCCGTATGTTTCTTCTCATATCTCCTTGGCCTTTGCATATAAAGAGCTTGCCCCTTAACAGGATCCAATTGCGAATCAAATACGTCTTTCACCACCTGTGGTAAGGTCTCCTTCAGCGAAGACCTTAGCGAGATCGCGATCAATGCTGCTCTGAGCCGGAGAACTTGCAAAGCATCGCCAGCAGCCTCTGTAGTTCGATTAGCTGAATTCCAAGTGTCCTCTTGGTGGAATGAATGAATCCCAGCCTTGGAACTTGGAACCTGAGAATTTGGAGTGGGGAGCATGTAATCATTCATTTAGCCATTTAGCATCATTTAGCTTCTGATTGTATGTCGCTAGCACATAGTTCGCATTTTTAGAGACACCTTGCGGCCTGTCCAACAGGATGCAAGAGATGTCCCTAATGGCCCATTAAACTCACCATCTGGTTATGACTAACATAGCCATGGAAAATCACCATTTTTAATAGGTAAACCATCTATAAATGGGCCATCTATACCATGGCTATGTTAGTATTGTTAGTCATAACCAGAGGGTAATGTTTGGAGAGGATCTCTCTATCATTGCCATTATTGGCTGAGTGGATGCATTTTTCCTTGCTCGGCCAAGCCGATGCAGGGCTAGAAGCAATTGGCTGATGCTGGTTCTGCGGCCGGGCCACACAACGTCAAGCCAATCCAAGATATGAAAGACATGGGTATGGATCAATACCTATTAATACCATTTTTAGGGGGATGAACATCCATTTAGCAGCTACTTTGATGTTCACCAGGGGTACAAGGTTTTGACACACTGCCATATGAAAGACATGATTAAACAAATATCAACATAATCCACAACTGAAGCTCAAAGATG